TCAACAGTAATAGCCAAATTACTATTTCACCTGGTACGCCTATGTTTATGAATTTTTGAGATTATTATATTACGTTTTTCCGCCCCAATCAAATGGTTTACACAATTTCAGAAAAAGATCATTGTTTCTTGAATAAAGCAATTTCTTTTGTCCACAAACAGACTTCCTCGTTTTTTCCTTCTTCCTTTCATGAGAAATGATTTATATATGCGTTATCTTATGCTTTTTCTTTGTCTACTTGGTCCCTTCCTATTCTTTCCTCTGTCATTCTCTATTCTTTGCTCCTATTCTCGATTGTTTCGATTTGTCTCTATTATTAACTTTTACATTTTTTTCGTTGCTCACCTCTTAGTTCTTTATTCTCCTCGCTATATTTGATTGTGTCTATCTTATCTATATGTGACTCCTACTTTTCTCTGAAGAAATTATTTCTTAATTATTTTCACTGCCTCATTCACTGTCTTTTCAACGTACGTTCGGTCTTTGACCGCTATCACCACCAAATCCAACTACAGTCACGCCTTCACGCATATCCAATTTTAATTAAAATCCATAAGATCAATCCTTGAACAGACACTTGTGGCACTCCAGCTGCAATTTCCATCCACTGACTGCCAACATTTAGCCATCTATCTGAATAGTTACGTCCCACGACCCTCGTCAGGCCCGTCCGTAACCGTCGTCTTTTCATTTCCCTCAATACCGTCCCACCTTACCCTGTTAAATTTGTTTTTGACATCCAAGCTCACCAAGAGTTACCAATTCTTGTGACAACAAGTATCCTTTCTCGCTACCTCTACCTGTTAGAGAACTTTCTCCATAGCGTTCCTTGTTAACCTACAAAATCTAAACCCGAACAGGGTTGTCGCTAATTGCTTCGTTTTCCTCTAGCTTCCTTCTTCTTCTTGCCGCAATTGCTTATTCAAAGAGCTTCCCAGTCATGTACCCAATTGCACTTTGAGTTTTCCGTTGAATGTCGCTCCCAAAATTTTCGGCACACCATCTGGTTTTGTCTTACCCACGGATCAGCATCCATTTCTGCACAAACCATCCATTTCTTTTCTTTGGATCCTATTATCATCCTTTTCCTAAATATTTTTCTAGCTTCGTGATTTTTTCTAGCTCTTGCATTTGCGTACGGAATGTCCTGACCTGTCCTGTCCTAACCTGTCCTGACCTGACCTGACCTAACCTTTTTTTTCTCCGACAGGAAGATGTTCATATCCTGAAACGCCTCCCTGTTTTCCTCGCATTTCGGTCAGCACCATGGTGTTTATCGTCTTCTCTGCATATCTTCGTGGCGCTAGTCGGGCATTAAGTGCACTTGGCTTCGTTCCCTTTCCTTTTCTTTTAAGATATGTCCCGAATGATCCGTGGTTTGTCAAAAAATGTGTGGTACAGTGATCTAACCCGTTATTCCCTTATCCATCCACATTTTTATGTCCTTGATCAGTCTTTGCTTCCATTTGCCTGTTTCCGCCATGTCCCATCTCGCTTGCCACTTTTCCAACGATCTGTTTCTTCCTACTTCTTTTTCTATTCCGTGCTTTTGCCGTACGTTTCTCCACTATCTCTGTCCATACTGGCGCTCCATTTCTTCTACGGTGTTTCTTGTCCGTGTACAGTGGTTTAAGGAGTTATTTGATGCTCCTGTCAGCTTTTAGCATTATTTTCTCAATGTGCTGTACCCACTTGATGGCTTTTTCCAGCCAGACCCCTAGGTAATTAATTCCCTATTGGCTTTCCACTTTTTCCCACCAACCCAACCGTCACTTCCATCTTGGTTAATTTTCTTCTTCCAGCAAGGATTACGACCTCCGTCTTGTCGGGGGCTAATTCTAGCTCTTGCTCCTCCATCCACTCCTCTATCGCTTCAACGGCTATATCTACGAACTCGACGAGCCCCTCATCCTTTCACCAGCATATCAATTAATTGGGCACCATGCGGTAGTTTGGTTCCCAAGATCCCGTCATAGAACACGTTCCATAGTAACGGCCCTATGACCGATCCTTGCGGCACACCCATTTTTAATCTCTACATGCTCCTCGCCTATGACCAGTATTCTGTCCTCGAAATAACTACAAATCATGTTAGATAGGTACGACGGTATTTTCAACCTCCTTAGCGCATCAAGAGTCTTATGCCATTTCACGGTGTTCAAGGCATTTCTTACATAAAACGCGACCATTTTATTGTTGATTCTATCCATTCCCGGGACTTTACGGTTTTTAAGACCTTTCCGGGATTTTCTATGTAGTTCATTTATCGTAAATTCAGGGATCCCTCTTTCTTTAACCTTTTCTCTTTCTGTGTTTGTAGGATAATACTTAGGAAATAGTTTTTTGGCGCTTTCCGCTTGTTCTTATGTATTCAGTACCTCTCGACTCTGCAGGTGTAATTTCTTAGCTACTATCTTGTATCTGTTTCTTGACCGGTTAATCTAGATGTTTGGTTACAAGGTTTCGTGATCAGTTTCTGCAATTGCTCGGCGTCGTTTGGGTAGTTTATCCCTTCGTTCCATAGTTCAGTTCTTATTTTTTCGGATAGTTACCCTTGTTCAGTTACGTACTTCATTCCTTGGCCGGTATCTTTTTTCTCCATCAGTATCAGAGTGCTTCGGTATCAACACAAGTTTCGCCGTCTTCCATTTTCTAGGGAAAACACTTTTTTTTAAACATGTATTCATAACCCTCAAAACTGTCTCTGAAGTTGCGTTTACTACCACTCTCCGGACTTCATTTACTATCTGATCCAGTCCAGGCGCTTTTCTATTTTTAAGTTTACTGGTGGCCTTAATTAATTCTTCTAGGGTGAATTCGGGGATATCTCCGGTCGGTCTCTGATTTCTGGCTTTTTCGTTATCTCTGTTTGCTCTTTCGTATCTAAGTATTCTCTTTTTTTAATCCCAAATCTCTTTGTAACAATCTGATATGTCCTACCCCATATATCATTTTCCAATTCCCTCACCAATAGCATCTACGCTTTCTCCTTAATCCTTTTTCCTAGTTTTTTCCTAGCCGTTACTTGTTCTCCCGTCAGATCTCTCACTGTTTCGTCATTGTCCTTGCCTCGCCCCTTTGTATAGCAACACATTATTTGTTTCGTTGTTTTTCACGTTTTGTGCCAGATTTTTAAAAGATGCTATCACAGGCTTCTTCTATTAATCTTTCTAGATCTTCCGATGTCCTTACTTCCTCTTTGCCTCTGTTCCAGAGTGTAACCTATATGTTCACCGGCAAGGTCCGCAACCCTTTCTTGCTAATTGGGTTTATTGCCCTCATTCGCCACGATCATTCCTCTTGACGAGATCAATCTTCCAGGAGATTTTTATCGATGTACTTGGCTCCCCACATAGTAGAGTTCGCATTGAAGTCCCCGCCACTACTAAGCGTCTATTCCGACTAATCATCTTCTCCTCCAATTGATTGAGATATTCTCTATATATCTCAAACTTTACATTGGGTGAGATATATACCGCGCACAACATGAACTCCCTAAACTCTATCCCCACCATTCCTTTTATCTTTCCGCTCTTAGTACACCTCGTTTCTTCCGTATGATTGTATACCTTTGTGGGGGCTGACAAGTCCCACAAAATTGTATAGTATTTGTATATTTGTATATAATCTGTATTTAATTACTTCCAACCAGTATCACCCCGAAACTTTCTCTTCGTCTACCTGCATGTCGTAGAACCTATCTTTCGTTCATCCTTCTCAATAATTCTTATCCTTTCAAATACCTTCCAAGAACCCTTTAGACGCAACTGTTTTCACCGCTTTCAACCGACCTTTCTTTTCATTTCAAATTCACAAACTCCAAGACTCTTCCCTCATCTGCCGAACCGACAACATCAAAATAAATAAGCCAAAACGCAAGTACTGTTTCAATCACCTGATCACCCCACACCTTGACTGCTTCATCCTTGTCCTCGTCCGTAATCCATGGTCCATCTTCAATCAACTTCTTACTGGGTTCCGACATCAACCTTCCATTCAATCACCGTCTGCTCCAGGAGTTCATGAGCAGCCCTTCTCCGATTTAGATTTGTCTTGTAGAAGTTCTTGTCCCCGATCTTCAAGCAACGTCAACATGGCCGTCTTAAATTTGGTCCTTGCTTTATTTTCCTTCCGGAACTGGTCTTCTCCTTCTGTCGACTCTCCTTTTTTCTCCTCCGTATCAGGAGTTCCCATTTTTGCTTCGACTTTCTGCTCCAGTATGTCTACACCAACTACGCTCCCCTGTACGAGAATTTTCTCTACTGCCTCCCTAATCTCTTCCCTCTCTATAGTCCCCTCTATATCTCTAACAACTATCGTCTTATTCCTTTGAGACCTTCTATTCTCATTTTCCTCCCCAATCACTCTCCGTATCTCGGATTCTAGATTTTCAACCCAAAACATCCCCGGACCTTCCTGACTTGACCTGACCCGATCACACACAAATAACGTAACAGATTTATCATCAGTTGTGAACGACGCCCTTTTGACGAAACACAACGGCAGAAAAGTTTTATTTCTGAATTTTCAAATGTTAACTCTATTTTAATATGTGAGAACATAAAATAAATATACTACAGTATTTTATAACAAGGTGTACTGAAAGAAACACTGTGTTTAATTTTGATTCCCTAACTTATTTAAATCTACTGTAAAACCTCTACTTCTAAAAAACAGTCAGTCGATGAAGTAAGAAGATAATATTTACAACTACAACAAAAGAAATTAACAATTTTTTTTACATAGATGTAACTGAAACGTTCGTATTTCAAAAACGTTTCGACTTATTTTTAACTCCACCTAATGAAGTTATTAAGTAAAATTAGAAGTTGCACTTTCAAATTTTGCAAAATTGCGCAAAACTTTTCAGTCTAGGAATTTCATTCATTCTTGACATTTTCGCCTCGCAAAATTCAGCTAACGCCCATTAGCTCCTCCATCTACTGACGAGCACAGCGCTCTTGCCAATTACCCAAACTGATGCTAATGTTATGGTACAGCAGGCTCAAAGCGTACCGAGCACTCGAGCCGCCTCCAGGAGGACTTCGGTCTGTTTGAGCGAGAACAGGAGCGAGGAAGTGGAATTATCGGCCGTTTCGAAGAGGCCGAGTCTGTTGAGGGTGCCCTCGGCCTCCAATCAGGAGATTTCCGCCAACAATAATGATGTAAGTGCCGACAACACACAAGTCTACTTGAAACTTATGATTGTTGCAGAGTCCTACAAACTTACTGTCACCGACGCGAGGTCCTTTCACTAGAAGGATATCGTCCGTGATGTTCAGCGACGTGATCGTTCTTCACGGGGAGAACGACACATTGCCGGGGTCCTCGTCCAACATCGATAAGAAGAACGTCTGCTCGAGCGAAAAAACGACCCAAGCCGGTGAGTTTTTACACCTCTGGAGAGCTTTTGCATGTCTTTTGTTGAGTTGGTTCTTCGGGAGATTTAAGAACTGAGATCACGGTTATGGTTTATGTGCTTGTTTATGTTTTTGCAGGAATTTGATGGGGTGGACTTGTTGCGTGAAATTATCGACGTGGTGGGAAAGCAGGACGGTTTTAAATAAATTTGCACTTTTAGAACGTTATTTTTCTATGCATTAAAAGGGTGAGGCTAAAAATTTTATATAAATTTTTAAATTCAGGGGAGGTTATAAGGGCGTGAAAAATTGTTTGGTGTTGCATGCTTGTCGGCCTTGTAGAGTTGAATATCAGTGCCAATTTTTGTGATCTGGAACATACACCAAAGGGCCGTTCAGCAGCGTTCAGCAAAATTTGTCGTCACACATTAGAGACCCCAATTACCCAAATGAATTCAGTGAACATTTGTTTTTAGCGAACATTTAGGTAATAAAGAAAAATATTTCGAATCAAGCGATTAATTAACTATTTAATTGATGTAAAATGTTTACACTCTTTGCCACAACCGAAACAATTTTAATTTTTCATGCAACTTTTTGCGTCTTTATTTACCATCAATAAATTATATTTCTGCTAATTTGGGTTTGTCTGTCCACATTACGAGTATTTGTGTTTATTATTCGTCTGTTTGTAATCTCGCAATTTATTTACGTTACGACTATTACGTACACATGTAGACCCCCCACCTTTACATGTAAATATCATTAACATTATTATTACGAAACCCAAATTGGTTGTGTTTGCAAATGTGGCCCAACATCCCCAAAAGGTTGCCGACCCCGATTTAATCAATAATGTCGGACTTTGAAACTTCCACATACCTATCACTAATTTTATCTCGTCGACTGTTTTGTGTTGATTTTGAAAGGTTTGTTTTCAACGTTGAAAAAATATGAAACGGATTTCATAAAACATTTGTTATATTTTTTAACGACAATATTAAATACTTGGGTTGTTGGCTGGTTAGAAATTAAATTTAAGCTAAATTAATTGCCACAGTATTGTTTTTAATTATTTTCATTATTTGTACTTTCCCGCAATTCACTGGTAGTCCACATCTTTTTGTGTGTTCAGTCCAGGTCTCCATATTTGTTTTTCGGTTCTCTTCTGAGTTTGCAATAAATCTTTTATCGTTTCGTTATTATATCATTCAGTGGGCGGATAAATAATAGCGAGCTCAATCCTCCTCTCTGTCTCGCTCCATCCACTGTTTTAAAGGGTGCTGATGTTCTGTTCCCTGGCCTAATTTCATTAGTTCTGGTTTCGTATAGGGTTTTTATAGTTCTTATTACGTCTAGACTTACCTCCTTTCCTTCAAAACTTGTTCACACTGCTTCTGTTTTAATTGATTCTATGAATTATAAAAAATCCAAAGATTCGAAAAGTTTCAGAATCTAGTGGTTCCAGCAATTGTAAAAATTCTAAAGATTTTAATGATTCGAAAGATTTTAGGAATGCTAATATTCCAAACATTCTAAAGATTCTAGAGATTCCATAGGATTTGGAGATTCAGAGATTCCAAAGACTCTAGTTGCTCTGGAAATTGTAGAGAATTTGGAGATTCTGGAGATTATACACATTTTACGGCCTAAAGATTCCACGCATTCTAAAAATTCTCCAAATTTCATAGCATTTAGAGATTCAGAGTTTTCCAGTAATTCTAGAACTTGTAGATAATTTAAAGATTCTAGAAATTGCACAAGTTTTTGAGTCTCACGATTCCAGGCATTCTAGAAGGTCAAAAGATTCTAGGACCCAATTTACAGAAAGCGAAGTTAAAGTTAATTCGAGATTAATTTTTAATTGAGGTTCGTCGCTAGGCAACGTGCAGGTTTTAACCAATCACGGCCTCATATTCCACATTTTAATCCTGTCTTAAACTAATCGAGGATTACATATTTAATTCGCTGTTCTATAAACCGGCCCTAGAGATTTTAAAAATTCTAGATATTCTAAAATTCCTGGAGATTTTAAAAATCCTGGAGATTCCAAAAATTGTAGAGGTTTTAGAGGTTCTGGAGATTCTGGAGATTTTAAATATTCTGGAGATTCTAAAAACTAAAAAATCAAGAAACCGAAATTCCAAAAATTAAAAAATTTCACACTGAAAAATTGAAGAAACGAAAAATTAAAAAAACTGAAGTTGAAGAAAAAAAATTGTAAAATTGGAAGATCCAAAAATTGAAAAATTAAAAACTGATAAAGAAATAAAATAAAAAACCGAAGAAATGAAAAATTTTAAAATTTAAGATGCGAAAGATTTTAAAATTATAAAAAATCCAAAGCCAAAGATTCCAAAAGTTCCAGAGTCTAGCGGTTCCAGCAAATGTAGAAATTCTAAAGATTTTAATGATTCTAAAGATTTCAGAGATTCTAAAGGTTCCAGACTTTCTAAAAATTCTACAGCTTCCATAGGATTTAAAGATTCACAGATTCCAGAGATTACATCTAGACTCTAGTAAGTCTGGAAATTGTAGAGAATTTGGAGATTCTAGAGACTGCAGAAATTTTAGAGTCTAGAAATTCTCCAAATTTCATAGGAACTAGAGATTCAAAGTTTCCAGGGTTTCCAAAGATTCTAGTATTTCTAGAAATTGTAAAGAATTTAGAGATTCTAGAGATTGCACAAATTTTAAAGTCTTGCGATTCCAGCCATTCTAGAGATTATAGAAATTCCGGAGTTTTCAGATTCTAGAGTTTCTAAAGCTTTCCTATGAATCTTTAAAATCACTAGAATGCCAGAATTTAAAAAATTCTAGAGATTCCAAGAAATACTAACTTTTAGAATCTAGCGGTTTCAGCAATTCCACAGATTCTAAAGCTTCTAGAATTTCGAAAAATTCTAGAGGTTTTAGAGATTCTAGAGTCTGGAGATCCTAAAAATTTTAGATATTCTAAAAATTCGAGAAATTCTAGAAATTCCAAAAAATTTTAAAGATTCCAAGAAATCTATAGTTTTAGAGTTTATCGGTTCTAGCCATTCTAAAGATTGGAGATACTAAAGATTCGAGAGATTCTAGAAATTATAAAGATTCTAGAGGTTCTGGTTTTAGAGATTCTAAAGATTTGAGGAAATCCAGAAATTTCAAAAATTCCAGAGATTCTATAAATTCTAGAGGTCTTAAAGATTCTAGAAGTTTTGTAGATTTTAAAGTTTCTAGAAGTTTTAGCCATTCTAGAGGTTTCGGAAATTGTGGAGATGCTACAGATTCTGGATTATAAAGATTCTAAAGGTTCTAAGGATTTTAGAGATTCTAAACATTCAAGAAATTTTAGAAATTTCAAAAATTCTAGAAATTCTAAAGATTGTTAAGATTTTGGAGATTCTGGAGATTCTAGAGATTCTAAAGATTCCAAAGGCTCTAGTTGATCTGGAAATTGTAGAGAATTTGGAGATTCTAGTACAAATTTTAAGGTCTAAAGATTCCACGCATTCAAAAAATTCTCCAAATTTCATAGCATCTAGAGATTCAGAGTTTTCAAAGATTCTAGTAATTCTAGAACTTGTAGAGAATTTAAAGATTCTAGAAATTGCATAAGTTTTGGGGTCTAACGATTCCAGGCATTCTAGAAGGTCAAAAGATTCTAGAGATTTAAAAAATTCTAGATATTCCAAAGTTCTTAGAGATTTTAAAGTTCTGGAGATTACAAAAATTCTAAAAGGTTTAGACATTCTAGAGATTCCGGAGATTCTAGGTTATAAAAATTATAAAATCAAGAAACTGAAAAATCCAAAAATTGAAAAATTTCACCTTGAAAAATTGAAGAAACGAAAAATTAAAAAAACTGAAATTGAAGAAAAAAAAATGTAAAATGGGAACATCGAAAGATTGAATGAAAAATTAAAAACTGAAAAATAAACAAAATAAAAAACTGAAAAAATGAAAAATTTAAAAATTTAAACCTCTTAGAGGGTCTGGAGATTCTGAAGAAGATAATGATTGTGCAGATGCTAAAGATTCTGAAAATTCTAAAGATTTTAAAAACTTTAAAATTATAAAAAATCCAAAGCCAAAGAATCCAAAAGTTTCAGCGTCTAGCGTTCCAGCAATTGTAGAAATTCTAAAGATTTTAATGATTCTAAAGATTTCAGAGATTCTAAAGGTTCCAGACATTCTAAAAATTTTAGAGCTTCCCTAGGATTTAAAGTTTCAGAGATTCCAGAGATTAGAAAGACTTTAGTCTGGAAATTGTGGAGAATTTGAAGATTCTAGAGACTGTACAAATTTTAGAGTCTAGAAATTCTAAAGATTCTGAAGATTTTGGAGATTCTAAAGATTGCAGAATTTCGAAAAATTCTAGAAGTTTTACAGAATTCTAGAGTCTAGAGATCCTAAAAATTTTAGACATTTTAAAAGAAGTTCTAGAAATTCCAATAATTCTAAAGATTCCAAGAAATCTACAGTTTCAAAGTGTATCGATTCCAGCCATTCTACAGATTGGAGAGATTCTAGAAATTCTGGAAATGCTAAATATTCTGAAGATTTTAAAGATTTGAGAACATCTAGAAATTCCAAAAATTCCAGAAATTCTATAAATTCTAAGGATTCTAGAAATTATATAGATTTTAAAGTTTCTAGAGGTTTTATTCTAGTGGTTCTGGAACTTGTGAAGATGCTAAAGATTCTGTATTATAAAGGTTCTAAGGATTTTAGCGATTCTAAAGATTCAAGAAATTTTAGAAATATCGAAAATTTTAGAAATTCTACAGATTGTTGAGATTTTGGAGATTCTAGAGATTCTAAAGATCATAAAAGTTCCACGAAATCCATAGTTTTAAAATCTAGGAGTTCCAGCAATTCTGGAACTTCTAATGATTCTAGAAACTCTAGAGGTTTGTGTTGAAGATTCTACAGATTCTAGAGATTCTAAACATTCGAAAAATGCTAGACACTCTAAAGATTAGAAATTCTAGAGATTCTACGGATTATAGAGATGTTAAATATTCTAAAAATTCAAAGAAATACACAGTTTTAGAGTCCAGCGGTTCTAGCAATTCTAGAGATTCTAAAGATTCTAGAGGTTCTAGAAATCCTGAAAATGCTAAAGATCATGGAGATTCTAAATATTCGAGAAATTCTAGAAATAATGAAAGTTCTAGAAATTTTGAAAATTCTGAAATTTCTAGAGGTTTTAGACGTTATAGAGGTTCTGGAAATTGTGGTATGTTGTTAGGGATTCTGGATTCTAAAGATTCTAGAAGTTCTAAGGGTTCTAGAGAGTCTGTACAAACTAAACAAATCGAATTTCCGGTCCAAGAATATGTCTATAGAACTAGATATCATTAAGGAATCCGATACTTCAAAGCCCAATGGAGATTTTTGAGTCGTTTTGGAGTTGTGTCTCGTTAAATTTGAAAAAGACTGTTTCAACTCACAAATGGCCTTTACAAACATATTCTTCTCAATAAAATAAACAAATGAGGTATCCGACCTAAAAATTGCCCAATACAACCAGAAAACTTCAAGGGATCAAATGCCTAAAATAGCAATGTCGAGTTATGTCTTGTTAAATTTGAAAAAAGGCTGTTTTTAACTCACAAATGACATCTTCATATATATTCGTTTCTACAAACTAAACGAATGGAATATCTGATCTAAGAATTTCCTTATAGAACTAGAAAACTTCAAGAAATGAAATGCTTCAAAGTCTTTGAAAAAAGACTGTTTAACTCACAAATGACCTCTACGGATATATGAGTCTTTGCATACTAAAGGAATCGAGTATGCACCCTACAGATTCGCTTGTAGAACTAAAAACCCTCAGTAAATCCAGTGCTTCAAACCCCAATGGGAATTCTTATGCCCTTTTGGAATTGTGTCGCCTTAAATTTGAAAAAGGCTTTTTTTTAACTCTCAAATGACATTGTCATATATATTCGTTTCTACAAACTCAACGAATTGAGTATCTGGTTTAAAATTTTGGTTATAGAACTAGAAAGCTTCATGAAATGGAATGCTTCAACGCCAATGGGGATTGTTGTGCCATTCTGGAGTTATGTCTCGTTAAATTTGAAAAAAGGTTTTTTACCTCTTCACATATATTTGATTCTACAAAGTAAACGGATCGAGTGTTTTCTCTGCTGTTTTGTTCTAAAATCTGTCCACATATATATATATCTTACACTGCTCATATTTCTTCATCATTTTGTTTCATGCTAATTTCTTTTTCTTAATTTCAGCTGCTGCTCTTTGATATTTTAGTTTCTCTATTATTGTTATTTTTGTAAATTGGACACCCTGTATTGCGTATACATGTGTCCCAGTTAAAATCCCTTGTCTTTATACTTAAGAACTGATAGAAATATTGAAATTCCGTAAACGCCATTATTTTTAACTTGAAGGGGAAGCTTAACTGATTACATTTATTATTATTATTATTAAAATATCACTTTTTAGCTATTCAGCAAGTTCAATTTTTAAAATAATTGAAATTAGTGTTGAGAAAATGCCAAGCAAGTGCTTGTTATGGACACTTTTTGTGCTTTTAAATGCACTTCGTTACATCATACAAAAACAAACTTGACGAAAATACGCAAAGGGTATTTACACATTACAGTGTAATTGCAAACATTCGGTTATTTTTAGAATCAAAGAATATAAATAGCCCCATCCCACCTCTTACAAAAACACTTTAATCTCTACTACCTGCTCTCACATTCAATAATAAATACTCTTCTATGTATTTCCATGATTATCTTTCGGCAATAAATTCCCACCAATACGAGTCCTCGCTTCCAGGTGACGGCAACATCTGGCAAATCTCATCCATGCCGAACCAGCAGCAAATCCTCCAAACTCAGCAACAAATTGCTCAAGACTGTTGCGACCTAATGAACGGTGAAGCGATGACCTGCCAACAACTGCTCGCCCTGGGGGCAATCAATGCGGCTCTGCCCACCGGCCAGATAGACTTTGACACCATCCTGAGCTCCCTAACGAGAGGAATAAGCAACAGAAACCGAAACGCCGAGGACTTGTACATGCAGCAGCTGCCCGATGACGACTTCAGCTGCTGCCACGACCTCTGGCACTGCGAGTCCGAGTACAACAACGAAAAGCGGTCTCGGTTGTATATCGCATGCTGCATGATCCTGAAAGGGATAATCAAGGGCGTGAAATACGCGCGGAAGAAAATCAAGCTTTTAGTTGAACACAAGTACTTCCAACAGGGTATTTTACTAGCTATACTGATAAACACGTTGAGTATGGGAATAGAGTTTCACAACCAACCTGACTACTTGACGCATCTGGTGGAGACTAGTAACGTGATTTTTTCAGCCATTTTTGCAGTTGAAATGCTGCTGAAAATTATAGCCGAAGGGCTGTTTGGGTATATTTCGAATGGGTTTAACGTGTTCGACGGGATCATCGTATGTTTAAGGTAAGTGAAGGTCGGGACGGGCTCCCACATTCATATTTATATTAATGTGTTAAGCTAGAGAATTCCAAAGATGGAGAAATGCCGAACTAGAAATTACACGAGGGGGATGAAATTTGAATGTGGTTTGAAGGAATGTTTGATAGGAGGCTCTAAAAGTAGCAATTTTGTCAAAAGCTCAAGTGGTGGCTCACATTTTCCACGTTCCAGAAGCTTTGTTCCTCTATTGTCAATAATTCAGCTGATTTTAATCTATTAATCATGGCCACTATACACAGAAATAATAGTAGTATACTGGGTGTCCCAATTTCTTGTCCCATTTTAATTTCTCAATTATTTAAAAAGGCAGAAGAAATGACTTCAATTTTTTTAAGCACAATGAAGTATGGTTTCAAGTTAACTCACCTCGATCGATTTTTTTTGGAGGTCAGGCCAGGTCACGTCAGGTCAGGTCGGATCAAATGAGTTAAATAGATTTTTTGGGCGTGGTAACAACGGGTGTTAATTGAAAAAATTATCAAATTGGCGTTGTTTATTGATCCATGCTGCGTACGATTGACATTAGACAGAGTTGTTGAAAAGCGATAATTTTTATATACGAAAGAGTGAGGTTAAGTTGTTGCATTCCACATTTTCAACTGTCATCGATTAAATTTTAAGGTTAATGTAAGACACACTTCATACAGGGTGATAAAAAAAGACGACGAATAAATCCGATGGCAATTCACTAGAAGACGATCCACACCGTCATTTTTTGGTATTGACAGATAAAATTTTTAACAATTTTTACCGGAATTTTAGATAGAATCAAAATTACGAAGTTAATTCTTCAACTTTGAAGTTTAATGTTTTTAAAATTTGGTTCAGGGATTTTTTAACCTTTTTTTTCGAATTCTTCAGAGTCTTCTTAACAACGTATCGTCGTGTTTATCCGTCATTTTTTGATCACCAGGTATATATTTCTCCCAAGCAGAAGCTAAGAAAATATTGCAATAGGGTCCTTCCGGGGAATGGCTACTGTGACATTTTCTACATTTTTCATGACACCTAGAGTGCGAAAAATAGGTCTTCCGTTTTCGTCTGTCAGTCGTCTGTCTGTTGCCTGTTTGTTTTCACCCCCATCAAAGATTTGATGACGTCCCCTCATCATTTTTCACAGTAAAGGTCGTCTAAATTTTATAAAATAATATACTTCTATATTCGTGATTTATGAATCCGCCTTGATTTTTATCACAGTTAATTTACAAAAAAAATGTGTGGAATCTTTCCCACGCGTTTCCGGTAGCTGATATGATGTTAATTTTTCAACTTTTAAATTTAGTTTTTCAACAATTTGGTTCAGGGATTTTTTTAACAATTTTTTTCAAATTCTTCAGAATCTTCTTAACAACTTAGCATCAAGCTTATCTGTCGTTTTTTGATCACCTTGTATACATTTTTCCCAAGCATAAGGTAAGGAAGTATTGTAACAGGGTCCATCTGGCGAATGGCTACTATGATATTTTCTCCACATTTCATTACCCCTAGAGTACGAAAAAAAAGCCTTCCGTTTTCGTCTGTCAGTCGTCTGTATGTTGCCTGTTTGTTTTCACCCCTATCAACGATTTGATGACGTCCCCTCATCATTTTTGCAGTAAAGGTAGTCTAAATTTTATAAAATAATATACTTCTATACTAGTGATTTATGAATCCGCCTTGATTTTTATCACAATTACGTTACAAAAAAAAAATTGTGGAATCTTTCCCACGTGTTTCCAGTAGCCAATATGATGTTAATTTTTCAACTTTGAAATTTAGTTTTTCAAAAATTTGGTTCAGGGATTTTTTTAACAATTGTTTTTGAATTTTGCAGAATCTTCTTAACAACTTACCATCAAGCTTATCCGTCGTTTTTTGATCACCTTGTATATATTTTTCCCAAGCAGAAGGTAAGGAAGTATTGTAACAGGGTCCATCCGGCGAATGGCTACTATGATATTTTCTCCACTTTTCATGAGTGCGAAAAAATAGGTCTTCCGTTTTCGTCTGTCAGTCGTCTGTCTGTTCTCTGTCTGTTTTCACCCCCATCAACGATTTGATGACGTCCCCTCATCATTTTTCGCAATAAAAGTCGTCTAAATTTCAGAAAATAATATATACTTTTGTACTAGTGATTTATGAATTCGCCTTGATTTTTTTTAAAATTACTTTACAAAAAAAGTTGTGCAATATTTTACACGTGTTTCCCGTGGCCAATATGAACTTAATTTACTTTGAAATTTAGTGTTCAAAAAATTTGGTTCTGAGATTTTTTTAACCATTTTTTTTTTCGAATTCTTCAGAGCATTCGTACCAACGTACCATCGAGCTTATCTGTCGTTCTTTGATCACCTTGTATATATTTTGCCCAAGAGTAAGCTAAGGAAGTATTGTAATAGGGTCGATCCGGCGAATGGCTACTGTGATATTTTCTGGACTTTTCATGACCCCTAGAGTGCGAAAAAATAGGTCTTTCGTTTTCGTCTGTCCGTCGTCTGTCTGTTGTCTGTGTGTTTTCATCCCCATCAACGATTTGATGACGTCCCCTCATCATTTTTCGCAGTAAAGGTCGTCTAATTTATAAAATAATATACTTCTGTACTAGTAATTTATGAATCCGCCTTGATTTTTTTCACAATTGCGTTACAAAAAAAATATGCAATATTTTCCACATATTTCCCGTAGCCAATGTGTCGCTTACGCATCAAATACATTGTGGCCCAGTGGGTTAGGTAATGAATTCTTTGCCCCATGTGGGTTCGAATCCCATCCTTACCGAATGTTTTTGTACACTGTGACTGGAATTATTTTTTTTTTTACTTATTGGGTTTACCATAAAATTGTTTTGTTTGATTGTATTTACAGGACGAGGAAAAATTCTGTTTAGAGACTCTTAGACGGTCTTTTTATTTATAGAAATTATCACGAAAAAATTCAATTTGGTAAAATTAAATTTAATCATTTTTCAGAGAAGCGGGATTTGTTGGACTGCCCTTTAGGGACGAGAAAAGTTCAGAAATACTGTAATAAATTCATGTGAAAAATCAAAATTTTCCTAAAAACCAAAGTTTAAACCGCCAAAAAAATTAAAAACACTGTTTTTAATGCATTTAATAAACGTACTATTTTCTGTTTCTAAAAAAAAAAAATAGTTGCCATGCCCGAAAAAGCCAAAAGTGCTATTTCATATGTATATTTCCTTTTTGTTAATTAGTCGTTCCGTATTTCAAACATCTCTTTTTTATAAAAATAACTTCTACCATGTTCCAATGGAACAGCTAAACGGAAACACCCGGTGTACTGCTATTAATTCTTTGAATAGTTGGCGTTAATTACACATTAAAGAAAAGAGGAGACCAAAAGTTCATATATACACTGTTAATAAAAGTACTATAGAATAGGTCACTTTCGGGCCACGGGATGGGCGGCTTCTACGGGCGCTGTTGCTCGGGCGCCTGGGGTACTCTAGTTGGAGAAACGAATCTCCAGTGGTTTCGTGGGTGGCCATAATAGATATAACTAATACTCTAGTTAATATTTAAAAAATACTCGTTATCCTGTCAGTTTTTTAAAAATATGAATTTCGTCAAAAATAAAAACTCGTCCTAGAATTCGAAACAAAGGTAATTTCAAAATTTTGATATTTTCTTTATATTTATAGATTCTCCAATTCATTTAAAAACAATGTTTTGACAAAATAATTATTAAAATTACTAAGAACACAACTTTATGACTTTATGAAAATTAAGAAAATTACTTCGAGTAGTTATTTGAAATATGTATATGTTTAGAATTTTTTCTCTTATAAATATTATAATTACACATGTGATTATAAAAATAAAATATTTATAAGCATTTGCCGCTTCCCTGAAATAAGTGACGAATTTAGCGTGCAAAGGGACATCTACAGATATGTAGAGTGGTAGATTCAACAACAGTTTGTTGCTGTTATGGGGGTAGTCTATGCGCGCGATTGGGGTCCAAGCTATTCGACGGCGTTTCGTCTATCTGTATGTACTTAATCAATGGAAGGAAAAAGGTTAGACTCGGTTGTGACTGATATTTGTGACATCATCACAACGAGGCGGCAAAATTCACAAATCATAAAAGCCAACTTGACGTACAATTTATGAGTTTCTGAAAAATGAGCCAGTGAACGGCGAAGGTAACCGCGTTTCCTTTCAATGCACCTTCAATTGTTTCGTTTCTAACTTCACACTTAACGTAGGTATTTCAAGTTTGGAAACTTCCTTCAAGGAACTTTAACAATGAACTTAAGATTTTCTACCAATTTTTAAATTGAAATCAACAGGATGAAATCAAATATAATACAACAAATGTAAAAATAAGTTTAAGCACCATTAAGGCTTCAAATTTACGTTTTGTACATCGAACTAAAAAATTATCTAAGTTTATCAAGGAGCAAGAATTAATACTAGAGAAAAATTAAGTAAATAAAAATTTATTTTTTCAGCTTACTCGTACAGTTACGTGGTGATTCTCCTGCTAAACTTTAAGATATGTATTTGTTTATAAATGAAGCAATTATTCCATATATTGTAAACATTTTCTAAATTTTCATCATTTTCTCTGGGTTTCCATTCACTTAGGTTTAGGGTAAGATTGGCCACAACAAATACTCAGCAGTAGTTTCAAAATTTGATATGAAAACTGATTTCTAGCACAAAACGTCTCCTTTTCAGAATCTGAGACAACTTTGACTATCTAATTATTCAACTCCACAAAAAAATGAGAAAAAAAATATCTAAGAACAAAACCACATGTAATTTGATAGTTTTCAGGTTGAAGCAGTACCACATCTGCGTGTGACGTCATACTGACCTCCTGAGATGTAAAGTTCTTCTTTCCGATCCAGCAGAAAAATTGCATTAGATGTAATAGTTTTTAGTCAAAAAAAGACAAAATTGAGCTACAATTTTGACACGATAGTAGATAAATCAGCCCATCACGGTGGAATTGCAGCCACATTCAGGTTTCTCTTCGACTTAAAAGATGTTCGTCATTTGAATGTGGGAGATTTTCGAAGGGTATTCGGTTGTCGAATTTGACGTTTTTTCTTTCAGTGGCATTGAACTGTTTCAAAGGTTCCTCGGTCAGTCTCACACGGACTCTGGTCTGTCCGTGCTGAGGACGTTTCGTCTGTTGAGGATATTAAAGTTGGTCAGGTTCATGCCAAATTTGCGTCGTCAGTTGTTTGTGATGTTACGAACGATGGACAATGTCGCTGTATTCTTCTCCCTTCTAATACTTTTTATTTTCATATTCAGGTAAGTCAGTGCGACGTTGAATTTTGACACCACAGAAACAAACTACAGTTACACGAGACGACAAACAACATTGGCGGGGCTAAAAGGAGGGGTTTGGTAGGGGTGGCATTTGATTAATTACCCAGTTAGTTTTCTATTTGATTTGACATAGGGAAATGTTTCCTTTTGAGCCATTTTGTTTGGTTTATTGGTGTTAGATTAATATCGTCGTTTCCTTAAACTCCACATCACTATACTTTTCATACACTCTCTCTGTCTCTTATCCTACATAATTAGCACTTAATTATCAGATAGACAGCACATCATTCCAATATTGTACATAATTCGACCCGCTGAAGCACTCCACTTTTACAAGTCGACAACATAAACATCACAAAATTGACTTATAAGGGCGGAAGCAGTGGGAGTTTCACTCATAGCACAGAATACAGCGAAAATACCAAACATTCCAAATATCACAACTCGACGTTCAAATTAGTAACTGTTTGATTTTTGGGATGTTCTAGTATCCTTGGTATGAATATATTCGGGTGCAAGTTTTGCGAGAATCATGATGCTAACAAAAAATGTTTAACTGACCAAGACGAGGACAAAGATCGAAAAAATTTTGACTCCCTGTTGTGGGCACTTGTTACTGTTTTTCAGGTATTTAAATTGATCAAATTATAACTCATCTATCAAAAACACTCAAACTGACCTTGTTTTTGGTAGATGCCACTAATTTTAAAAAAAGTGCTATTTATTTTTTCATTTCAAACAAATTCGTTCACTCAAGCATAAATAGCACTCGTTTAGTCAAATTAACAATTTTATCTAAAACGATTTTGACTGATCACAACGAAAAGGTAGGTGATGGTTTTTGAAAAATTCCTCTTTCAGACATTTCTTGCATGCGTTTTCCAATTATGCACTTCTCGATTGCGAAGTAACTACATGCCGCTTTGAAAATACGAAGCTCGTTGGTGATCGGCAGCTACTTCCACGATCGCGAACGAGTTTCCGGTTGAGAGCGAATTTTCAAAGTGGGAGGTGACACTACCCTAGCACTACTTCTTCACACTTCACGTCTCTCCGCTTGAACTTTACCAACCACGTTCTGCTGTGTTCAACATGTGTGTCTCGATCAATATGTCACCCCTGCTATTATGTGTGTGTTTTTTGTACTAACAATCATTACAGAAACACGACATACAGTAGAAAATCAGTAGCAAACATTCACATCAATCAAGTAGGTGATTGAAGTAGCTACCAAAAAGTAGTTCACCATCGTAACCAAAATTTGAAAGTAGTTAGTAGTTTGGCATTTTGTTTGGTCGACCAAAAGCAGTTTTACGAACACGACAAACACCACACCACACTAGAAACAGAGATAGACTAGCTTAGTTTCGATTCACAAAATTTTTGAAATACAAAAACACGCCTAGACAGTTACATGTTTTACCATCATTTTGGATTTTGGCAGCATACTTGGGATGTACCTTTTTGGGGGTAAGTTTTGCAACTATAGAGCTGAGGACGGAAGCATTAAAGAATGTTCCTGCGAGATGATCGTCACCAATGACGAAAGGTGCGAATGCGATCGGAAACACTTCAACAATTTCCTCTGGGCCACAGTCACAGTATTCCAAGTGAGACAATTAAACATTTTTCCATACTAACTCTCCACTTCCCACTCTCACACTAGTTCTAACGATCTTTCTTTAGATCTTAACCCAAGAAGACTGGAACGTGGTCCTTTCGAACGGGATGGCCAAAACCTCGCACTGGGCTGCACTCTATTTCGTTGCACTGATGACTTTCGGCAATTACGTGTTGTTTAATTTATTGGTAGCTATTTTGGTAGAAGGCTTCAGCTCGGAAAGAAACGAAAGAAGAGAAAGAGAGCAAAGAGAAATGGCGAGGAGGAAAATGTCGTGCATGCTAGAAGGGGGAAGTTTGAGAGGCAGCTCCGAAGAAACCAGCAGATCAGTTTCGAGTTCCAGCGGAAGCTACACACAGGTATTTTCCAAAAATTTTAGAACCAATCTAATCAGATTGTCTTAGGAGACGAAAAACTGCTGGAGATCTGCTGAAGAACTAAGAAAAGTTAAAGACTTCAATGAGCAGAGATCATCAATCGGCCTAATCAACTGCAACTGTCGAGAAAAACTCATCGAAAAAGAGTGCGGTTTCGTAGATATAACCATCCAAGGACCAGTTGAGCCCAAATGCAACATCCAGAAAGAATCGATGTTGCGGCAGCCGTCGAGACAGGTCAGTACAATTTTTATTTGTGAAACTCACGTTTCCAGAGAGCGTATTTTACAAAATGCATGAAGTAGAGGCAGATAAATATTTCACTTCTATGAATGCGGTAGTTCGAAACACAAACGGTCAGTTAAATTATATTGGAAATTTATAGAGTTATTTACATTATTTATTTTTCAACGCGGAGTTATGTGCACATAAACTAGTCGCCGCTAAAAATATAAAGTTCTTTTCACATTTCGTGCGATGAAATAGTTTTTCCACGATTTATACTACCAAATGCCCTTTTGTTTGACTTTATCACAACAACGGCATTTAATTAAGCGTAGTTGTTAAGTTTATTTAGAAACTAAAGCTAAAAGGATTTTATGTAGATTCCAATTTTATGATCAGTAATTGCAGCTGCATAAAGCACTTCAGGCAATAAATTTCGTACTGCTGAGATAAAATTTTTATTGAAAACGTAGTGGGAGCTGCAAATTTGCATTTAATTCCAGTATCGGCTATATTTCAAATAACAGCGCACGTAATGCGTGAGGATTTTGCTGCTAGATTAGCTATGTTTATTTATTGGGTAATTTGCATTCGCAAAAGTTTCGTCTATGTGTGAGATTTCGGAACGCAGAGGCGACAAATAAATAATTTATCAAATAATGTCACCCTGCATCCCACAAACTTGTGTTCACATAGTTTTGGAAAGTTTGTTCGATATTTCGTACCAAGCAATTCAGGATATTGTCGATGATAAAACTTTATGGGCTACTAGTAAAAATTGAAACGGTAGAAATTATTTTTGGTCTTAAAGATCGCACAATAATTCTTGAAATTTATTCCGTCGTAACCGTAAATAGTTCTATAAGTCACATTTTGTAGTCGGTTTTTCACTATTTGATTTTCACTTGAAAAGACAAAATATTGCAAAAGTTAACATTTTACTGTGGTTTTGTAGACAACAAAAAAGTTTGTTTAGTATCCTTCTTCAGTTTAAACAACTATTATTGTTTTAAATCGCTAGCAAGTCGGCTTCAGACACATGCTTTCTAACCAACAGGAACGGCTCGTTGCTCACGCATACTGTAGTTTTACGTAATTTCAAAATTTTAGGTGACGTATAGGTTATTTATTAAGTATTGTCCATATATTTATTAGAGGTAGTGCAGTAATCTAACTTATACCATTCATCAAAATTGGGTAACATTGATTGCCTGGTCAAATAAGTGATTTTTTTGTTTATTTAAACTGATTTTAAACAATTTCGGCAATCAATGAGAAAATTGTGTAGGTTATAAGTGGCGTAAAAATTATTATCACATGTGGTTACACAATTCGGGTGAACCAGATTTTCTCTCGTGGCTGAGACGTTACGGATCTAATTTTCTTATCTACACAAAGTTGATAAAGATTTATTTAGTACATAATATTTAAAATGATAGCCGATATTCTACTCAAAATAAATAAGTTATCCCAAAATTAGGACTTTCCTTTCCTACAAAAAATATTTACTTAAAAAAATTATTTAATAATTTTTGGCATGACGATCAATGTTTTCAGTGGTAATAAATATATTAATTTTGATATCCTTCTCCCGAGGTTACAGATCAAATTTGCCGACTTCTGCTACCTACACAGAATTTCGGTCAGTTTTTTTTATGATATATTTTTTAAGATTTATTGAGTAGATAATATGTATTTAAAATGTCAACCGATTTTTAGTGAACATAAATATCTTTCAAACCTTAAAATATTTGCAAGATTGCACAGCATTCGGTTTTTGCAAATTCAAGTAAGTAAAATATTGTTATTTTGATTTTTTTTTCCCAAAAATCTGGATGCCAAGAGTAAAAACTCAACACGGATTCATAAATCACACGTACAGAAGCATGTTATTTAATAAAATTTAAAGAACATTTATTGGGCAAAATAGTGAGATTAAGTATCATTTTTTGGGGAGCATCATAAACAAAAGAATTTTGATTAACGATTTATCATGTTTCCTGTAACTTTAAAAGATTTGTAAATTTTCAAAACATTTGGTTTTGCAATTCCAAAGTTAAATTGTAAAATACAATTTTGAATTTTTTCCCAAAAATCTGGATGTGCCTGTTAAAAACTCAACACGGATTCATAAATCACAGATACAAGAAACATGTTATTTAATAAAATTTAAAGAACATTTATTGGGCGAAATAGTGAGATGCTGTATTATTTTTTGGGGAGCCCATAAACAAAAAAATTTTGATTAAAGATTGATCATGTTTCCTGTAACTTTAAAAGATTTGTAAATTTTCAGGACATTTGGTTTTGCAATTCCAAAGTTAAATTGTAAAATACAATTTTGAATTTTTTCCCAAAAATCTGGATGTCCCGGGTAAAAACTCAAGACGGATTCATAAATCACAGATACAAGAAGCATGTTATTTAATAACATTTAAAGAACATTTTTTGGGCAAAATAGTGAGATTAGGTATCATTTTTTGGGGAGCCCATAAACAAAAAAATTTCGATTAACGATTCATCATGTTTCCTAAAACTTTAAAAGGTTTGTAAATTTTCAGGGCATTTGGTTTTACAATTCCAAAATTAAATAGTAAAATACAATTTTGAATTTTTTTCCCAAAAATCTGGATGTCTCGGGTAAAAACCTAAAAACTCAACACGGATTCATAAATCACAGATACAAGAAACATGTTATTTAATAAAATTTAAAGAACATTTTTTGGGCGAAATAGTGAGATGCTGTATTATTTTTTGGAGACCCCATAAACAAAAAAAAATGATTAACGATTGATCATGTTTCCTATAACTTCAGAAGGTTTGCAAATTTTTAGAGCATTCGGTGTTGCAATTCCAAAATTAAATTGTAAAATAAATTTTTGAATTGTTTCCACAAAACTGGATGTCTTGGGTAAAAACTCAACACGGATTCATAAATTACAGATACAAGAAACATGTTATTTAATAAAATTTAAAGAATATTTATTGGGCGAAATATTGAGATGATGGATTATTTTTGGGGAGCCCATAAACAAAAAAATTTTGATTAACGATTTATCATGTTTCCTAAAACTTTAAAAGGTTTGTAAATTTTCAGGGCATTTAGTTTTACAATTCCAAAGTTAAATTGTAAAATACAATTTTTAATTTTTTCCCGAAAATCTGAATGTCCGGGGTAAAAACTCAACATGGATTCATAAATCACACATACAGAAGCATGTTATTTGATCAAATTTAAAGAACATTTATTGGGCAAAATAGTGAGATGACTAGAGAGCGGAAAATATGCAGCAAAATTTTGGGAAATATGATCATATGATATGCACCAAATTTATGCAAATATGCAGTAACTTTCTTAATATATGCAGAGATATGCAGTTGCATATGCTCCAAAAATTAAAAAAAAGCTCAATAAGCGACCTAAATTTATTCACAAATCACAAAAACAGGCTTCCCGAGCTTACGTTTTATTACAAAAAATACATAAATCACATTGCAAAGTGTTTAATTACATCTCACTACCACATAAACCACTCTAACACATAGATCACACTTTTACTAAAAAATAAATACAAACAGAACAAATTAAAAAATAGTAGTAATCAACTGTTTAATTACTATTTTGGTAACAATTTGTTTTTAAATATTTTTCGAAATATTGTAACAAAAAGTTTTTCCTGTGATTCTCTAGTATGTATGTGTAAATCGAAAAACTGCGTACTTACCGGTCTAGAAAAATGAAAAATAATAGGATAATGTCCCTCCGAGCACCACAAAACATACCATTAATACACCGAAAGAACGAACAAAAATGTTGGGAATGAACTTATTTCCAAAAGTATTTAGGGCGCGATTTTATCTGGAAGGATGGCTTAACACCCAGTGGTTTCTCCAAACTACCATAAAATCCAAACCTTTCCTAGTTATTTGAACCTCAGGACAATATTTGCAATATGATTCATGAAATTTCGTCTTTCTAGATAACTGTCGATAGAATTACAATCATTTTTTATTTCAAAGTAGCACAAAAGTTGATCAAAAAATGCAAAATATGCACCCGTTACGTAAAATATGCAGCAGAAAGCAAATATATGCAAATATGCAATTTTTTTATAGCTGTATTCATTTTTAATTAGCATGATTCGTTCACAAATTAAATATCAAGACTTATATGCAAAAAATAACGGATATGCAAATTTCATAAAATCCGCTCTCTAGAGATGACGTATCATTTTTAGGAGACCCCATAAACAAAAAAAAATTGATTAACGATTGATCATGTTTCCTATAACTACAAAAGGTTTGCAAATTTTTAGAGCATTCGGTGTTGCAATTCCAAAATTAAATTGTAAAATAAATTTTTGAATTGTTTTCATAAAACTGGATGTCTTGGGTAAAAACTCAACACGGATTCATAAATCACAGATACAAGAAACATGTTATTTAATAAAATTTAAAGAACATTCATTAGGCAAAATAGTGAGATAACGTATCATTTTTTGGGGAGCCCATGAACAAAAAAATTTCGATTAACGATTCATCATGTTTCCTAAAACTTTAAAAGGTTTGTAAATTTTCAGGGCATTTGGTTTTACGATTCCAAAATTAAATAGTAAAATACAATTTTTAATTTTTTCCCAAAAATCTGGATGTCTCGGATAAAAACTCAACACGGATTCATAAATCACAGATACAAGAAGCATGTTATTTAATAAAATTTAGAGAACGTTTATTCGGCAAAATAGTGAGACGACGTAAGCATTCTTTGGAGACCCCATAAACAAAAAAATTTTGATTAACGATTTATCCTGTTTCCTATAACTTTAAAAGGTTTGCAAATTTTCAAGGCATTCGGTTTTGCAATTCCAAAGTTAAATTGTAAAATACAATTTTTAAGGTAGGTAAAACTCAGCACGGATTCATAAATCACACATACAGAAGCATGTTATTTAATAAAATTTAAAGAACATTCATTACGCAAAATAGTGAGATGACGTATCATTTTTTGGAGAGCCCATAAACACAAACATTTTAATTAATGATTTATCATGTTTCCTAAAACTTTAAAAGATTTGCAAATTTTCAAAGCATTCGGTTTTACAATTCCAAAGTTAAATTGTAAAATATAATTTTGAATTTTTTCCCAAAAATCTGGATGTCTCGAGTAAGAACTCAATACGGATTGTTAATTCACACATGAAAGAGTGTGTAATTCTGTCCAGATTTTTATTATACACGTAATCTCCGAAACTACTGGACCAATTGTTGTGAAATTTTATATGTGTATTAGAAAACATCATATAGATGAACGCCAACGGAAATTTGACTAATGATCCCCAAGTGCAATAAAATAATATCGCCTCCAAAATTTACATTAGTAGATATTATTTAAATTTAGTAAATTTCGAAAAAATTATAAAATGACTCAATTTTTAGGAGGGCATAAATGAAAAAATTTTGATTTACGATTTACCATGTTTACGATAACTTTAAAAGTTTTCAGAACATTCAGTTTTGCAATTTCAAAGTTAAATTATAGTATAACGTTGTTAAACAATTTTGATTTTTTTTACCAAAATTTGGATATCTATTGTAAAAACTCAACACGGATTCATAAATCACACAGAGGAGTATCCAATTCTATCAAATTCGCCAATTGTGCAATGGCATCATCACTTTTTTGAGGGGGCACAAACGAAACATTGTTAATTAACAATTTGTCATGCTTATTATTACCTTAAAACGTTTGCAAGATTTCAGAACATTCGGTCTTGCAGTTTCAAAATTAAATTGCAAGATGTTGTTATATAATCGTGATTTTTTCCCAAAAATCTGCATTTAGGATGAAAACTCAACACGGATTCATAAACCACATGTGCAAGAGTGTCTTATTGTTAGGTGGGGATCATTGGCCAAATTTTAGTTAGCGTTTTACCATCTACATGATATTCGTAATACATATAAAAATTTCATAATGAAACGCATTGTTTAAAATAACACAAATGTTGCGAATCAAGTTTTAAAAAATGGAAACGTTAAATGCAATTATTGTTACAATAACGAAGCAGAAGCTGGTTTTAAAGATTTTAAATTTGTGTTAAGCACGTCTGGTACTGTGATAAATTTCATACTTGTCTCATAGTCATAAAGTCTTGTGGTTTCATGTATCTGAAACGACCATAAAACAAGAGAAATTTTTATTGCGTCCTCTTATACTAGTTACAAAATTGCTTGTATTTAATTAAAAAATAAAAGAAATATAAAACCTTTGTCACAATTAACTGCAGTAATTTCACCGAGAAATTTTCACAATATTCAAATCGATGTAATTATACGTGTTTTTTTTTATTTTTGCTGTAAAAACTATACAAAACAAAACATCAGGCAATTTCTTACAAGAAATTATAAAATGTCGTCGTTGTAAGTTCCGAAAACTACACAGAAAACTTCAATTCCATTCCGAAACCCTCTTCGGTTCTGAAATACCCCTTTGCTTGTTCCGCACTTTTAATACCACTTTAAAAACCACAACACACACCGCCAGCACCACAAACCCCACTACACCCCATCGTTGCGTTAATTGTAGACCTCACCCCCGATCATCACCCACACCGCCGCCACCCCCCAAGACTCGCCCAGCACCACCCTGGACGATTTTCCCGAGTTCCGCTACAACGTGACAACAGTAACAAACGACTGCCCTCCTGCAGACGACAGCAGTCCCGGAGGTGTGTCAAGCACAGAATCGACGCAAAAGACTTCGGTACGTTGACAAGAATTAAATCAAACTTTAAATAACTTCCCCTCGACTAAACTTATTTGAATAGAACGACATCCAATAAACCGCCTAATCTGATAAGCCCTTTTTCCGCAGAGCCTCAGTCTGCTCAAGCCGCCGACACTGTCGCCGCCCCCGCTCACTTTCCGCCAGTTCGAAAGACCATTAGAGGAGCCGCAGCCGCCTTTATCCGGGAAGATCGTAACGCACAACGAGAAAATCGGCTCGAAAATCATGACGTTCTCGGAGAAGGTGTCACTGCCGCCGAGGGAACAGAAACCCAACAACCAGGAAAAGGCGAAGATGCAGAGGAAATGCTCGTGGAAGCTGACCAACAGGCCCAGCTTGAGGAGGAAGAAGAACAGGAGCGGGTCTGACTCGGAGGCGGTGCCGCTCAACAACGGGAGGGACCACTCGCAGTGCAATGGGGGCGGCATCAGCCGGCAGGTCAGTGGTTTTTCGGAAGAGCAGAAAACCAGATAAATTAGACCATCCAAATTGTTTTTTTATATAATCAAGGGGGCTTAAATCTGTTGATCGAGCCGGCCATGGGTTTAAACATCCCAATGCGTCTACTATATCTGGTTTCTATAGTTCTTACGAAAAGCTTTCGATGTGTGCACCTCTGCTTTCAGGCTAGTTTACGAAACGATTCTCTGTTGCAATCATCCATTCGAATCCAAAACGACACCCAGAGTGATACGCCAAATAATAAGAGTGCCAAAGGCCTTAGCCCGCAAAATTCCATTAGAAATAGATCCAACACCTACAGCTCTGTACCACAAGTAATCGCACTAGTACCGCACCTGACGTCAACTAAACAAGCTCTTATAGGTATCCACAGCACCCACCTTAACACGTCACAATTCTTTAGTCACGTCGAGCATAACCCAACCGAAAATTAACACGCAGATCAACAAATGTAGTAGTCCGACTCTGTCGAGGAAATCGAGTCAAGTGGAACCGAAGTCGGTCAACAGCCTCAACGACAAGACTGTGCCAGAGAGGAGCCTCCCCAAAATCAAAATGGAAGACTGCATACCGACCGAGCAGGAACTACCCAGGACGAGGATGAGCAGGATTAAGAATTTGCTGATGATGTATGAACCCGCTGGGTGCTTGAAGGAACGGGAAGACTACTCCCTGTATATATTTCCACAAGAAAATAGGTACAATTAGGTGACAGAATACCGAGATCGACTACACAGTTCGTGTTGCAGATTTAGACAATGGTGCTACTGGTTTGTTAACCAAAAGTGGTTTGATAACTCCATTTTGTTGTTTATTGCTATGAATTGCATAACACTAGCGATGGAGAGACCCAACATTCCGCCCGATAGTCACGAGAGATTTTTTCTATCGACTTGTAACTATATTTTTACTGTAGTTTTCACTGTTGAGATGTTTGTTAAGGTTAGTACGTGAATAAAGTTGAATGTGTCAAAAAAAGAGGTTCTAGGTTGTGGCTGCCGGTATGTGTTACGGTCCAAACGCCTATTTCACCTCCGGCTGGAATATCATGGACGGCTCACTCGTCATCATCTCCATTGTAGATTTATTGATGTCGTTAATTCGGTCCAACAGCCCTAGAATTTTTGGCATCCTAAGGGTGAGTCATCCAACTCGAGCACCAGTTTTTACCCATCTCTTGTAGGTCTTCAGGCTGCTGCGCTCCCTTCGCCCCCTCCGCGTGATCAACCGAGCCCCCGGCCTCAAACTCGTAGTCCAAACCCTCCTCTCATCCCTCCGCCCCATCGGCAACATCGTCCTCATCTGCTGCACATTCTTCATCATCTTCGGCATCCTCGGCGTCCAGCTCTTCAAAGGTTCCTTCTACTACTGCGTCGGCGAGAACCTCACGAGCATCGTCAACCGCAGCGACTGCGAGAACAACAACTACAAATGGGAGAACCAAAAGTACAACTTCGACGACTTGGGGCAAGCCCTCATGTCTTTGTTCGTGCTGAGCTCCAGGGACGGCTGGGTCAACATCATGTACAACGGTTTGGACGCAGTGGGGCTCGACCAGCAGCCCGTAATCAACTACTCCGAGTGGAGGTTGCTCTATTTCATTTCTTTTATTTTGCTTGTGGGTTTCTTCGTTTTGAACATGTTCGTGGGGGTGGTGGTGGAGAACTTCCACCGCTGTCGCGAAGAACAAGAGAAAGAAGAGAGGATAAGAAGAGCAGCGAAGAGAGCGCTGCAGTTGGAGAAAAGAAGACGTAGTAAGGATTGTGTTGGTTTTTGAATTTCTGAACGAATGATTGTTGTTTTTCAGAGATGAACGAACCTCCGTATTATATCAATTATGCTCCCTGGAGGCTATTTATTCACAATGTGGTCACTTCAAAATACTTCGATCTGGCGATAGCGGCGGTGATTGGGTTGAACGTGGTCACCATGGCGACTGAAAGTTACAAGATGCCAAACCTTCTGAACTATGTTCTAAAAATTTTCAATTATTTCTTCACGGCGGTTTTCATATTGGAAAGTACCATGAAGATAATCGCGCTGGGTTTTGTTCTCTATATCAAAGACAGATGGAACATTTTGGATGTAGCTATTGTCATACTATCAGTAGTAGGGATAGTTTTAGAGGAACTCAAGTCCAACATAATACCGATTAACCCAACAGTATTAAGAGTGATGAGGGTGATGAGGATAGCCCGAGTCCTAAAACTTTTAAAAATGGCCAAAGGCATTCGGGCCCTTTTAGATACCGTAATGCAAGCGCTTCCACAAGTGGGTAATTTAGGACTGCTGTTTTTTCTCCTCTTTTTTATTTTTGCGGCTCTCGGGGTGGAGCTTTTCGGACGGCTGGATTGTAAGAAGAACGCGTGCCAAGGTAAGTACAATCAAAAATCGGCGAACCTTGTGGTACCAATATGTTAAATAATCCAGAAGTGGTACCCTAATTAATTCGTGTTTTAGGTTTGGGCGAGCACGCCCACTTCGAGAACTTCGGCATGGCCTTTTTAACCCTATTTCGTGTGGCCACCGGCGATAACTGGAACGGAATCATGAAGGACACACTCAGCGACGAGAAGTGTGATAAATCAGCCGAATGCGTGACCAATTGTTGCGTTTCTAAAATAATAGCCCCCATTTTCTTCGTAATTTTCGTCCTGATGGCGCAATTTGTTTTGGTTAATGTCGTAGTTGCGGTAAATTACTTACGAGGCTCTATCGATTCGGGCTAACCTGTGTTTCCGTAGGTCTTAATGAAACATTTAGAGGAGTCGCATAAGCACCTGGAGGATGAACAGGACCTCGACAATCAATTGGAGCGCGAATTCCAGGAAAAGCAAGAGATGGAAGAGAAGCGGGAGTTGTGCCTTGCGCTGCAGATGGATCAGGAGTGTCAAAGGCAACACAAACCTCTAACAAAAGTGAGATTTTTGCGTTAAGTAGATGCATCATTGACGGCGGTTTTAGGTACTGTCACTGCCATCGAACTTCACTTATAACCCTCCTGGTACAAAGGCGACTTTGGAACGGAAGCCGTCGTTCAAGCAAACTCGCCGCCAGACTTTACACAGCCACCAGCCCATCACTCTGCTCAACATGGACGACATTCGCAACATCGATGAGTCGGTTTCGGACATTTATAGTATCCAAGAGTACAAAACCACGGAGCTGGTGGAGAAAAATCACCGCCACCAGATGCAGACCAACCTTGATGAGATCATATCCTTGAATCAGAACGAGACTCTGCTGAGAATACCCAAGGTGGAGGAGCGGTTTCCTCTGAAGAGGATCAACGAAACTAACGAGAATAACCGCTTAGCGGTACCCCCTGATCCAAAGCCGAAATTCTTTGGTAGCACCAAGCATCTGTTCACCAAGCAACTGTCCATGGACATTTCAGAAGAGACACCATTTTTGCAAACTTCGCTGACGGTACCGCCGAGTCAAGTGGAGAAGGTCGAAGTGACGAAGCACGAAGAGAAGGAGTTGAAGATGCCAAAGCACGACAGTCAGGAGAGTGTGCAGAGGATCATCACCGAGAGAAGAAAGTTGGACGAGAGTTTGAAGGAGTTTAACGAATACGACATTTTCGACGTAACGCATAGTAGTGAGGAGAATTTAGTGGAAAAAGACGAACAACGAGAAAAATCGGACAGTGAAAACGAAAATCAATGTTAGTAGAAAATAGAGAAAATCACGGTTTTGATAATTCGTGTGATTCTTCCCTAGTTACCTATTTTTATATCTGTAAATAGTGTGTATTAATTGTAAAAAGTACCGTTTTTCTAGTCTATGTTTTTATTTTTACATATCTGTAGTAAATGTTTTAGTATTTTGTACACTTGTTGAAACGTGTTTACGATTAGGAATTGTCGTCGATAGGTACTATAAAAAATATTTTCATTATTGAAGTGTCAAGTGAAATTCGGGCAGAAATCTTATTTCTAGATACTCCAATATCAGAATGTAATACAATATACAGGGTCTTTGCAAAATACTAGGCTAGGTCTGGTGCTTACGAATCATTAGGACGTCAAGGGTGGCCAATGTACTTATTTTTTTCATTATTTTGTTGACACCCTGTATAATTTCCACCTTAGCAAGCTTCATTGATATTGTGCCATCCAGTTTGTGTTTAGCCAATGAACTAGTAACTAGGTATTTTAAACAGCTCACGATCCTCCATTCTGATTTCGTCACGACAAACAAAATGGACGATCGACCAATTAATCGAAGGCAACTAAACGACTAGACAATTAACAATTAAACGTAAACTATTAGATAGATTAAAAGTAGAGTAAATTACTCTCTCAATTAAAATGGTCATGTACTTTAGAAACAGCAAAATTCAGTGTCGCTCACGTTTTAGTTGAAAACATCAGCACTAAAACCTCGTGAGTACTGTTGTTAACCATAGAAAGAGCAAGATCTGCTTAACTAGTCAATTCGTGTCATAGCATAGGTTTGACAGATGAACGTTTCTATGGGGCAATAATTTCGTGGGAAACAACTCTTAAATTGACAATCTCAATTTCGCCTTCCAGGAGCTTCTGATAGGAGTAATAAAATAAAACTCAATTAAACTCAAATTAAAAATGCGTACTTAAAAATAGTTCGTGTGATGTTTATTTTTTGTTAGGAATCTTTAAAGTTACTTTATTTAAAAATCGACGCCAGCGAACACAGCAATTCAACCTCACCAACAAACCGGATTTGTTGATGACGATTCAATTGTCTCTATTCTCGTATTTTTTCCCTTTACAAGATGGCGCTGGTCTCGGTTTTTACTAGTTACGAGTTAAAATTTGGGGCAGTCTGTGATATTTTTGGTCCCCCTTTTAGATTAGATATTTCCGAATTAAATTTTAGATCGTCTGGTTTATTCTTCTACTTGAAAATTCGTTGCGTCCGAGGATTCAACGAGTTTCTCGACTCGTAGGTGCTTTCCATAGATTATTTCTTCTATCCGTGCCTTCTGTCTATAGCAAAACTGTATCTTTGTTTCTATTTTTAAATGATCAGTTTTAACCGAAACTCAATATGTAAATTATTGTATTTAGTAACTTAAAACTGAAAAATAAATAAAGACTTTAAAACCAACAAAAATGACTTATGTTAATAATACCCCCCCCCCCTTTCAGAGAACAAGGAAGACACGACCGTTGAGTGCAGGAAAGTGCTCGGATAGCCCATGTTGTCTCTGTGGTTAGGGTAAACAGATCTTCACGTGCAGACGCCCTTCGTGCCGCTGTTGCTATGCTGTTCTCACTTTCTCACTCAACTTTATTTTTCTACTCGACTTCATATTTATTTAAATTTGTCACCACAACCTCGTAATACTTGAGTATCCAGTTACTTTGATGACGATTTCCTTTTTTGTGTTTAAATTTGTGATTTTCTAATATTTGTATCAATGTGCAACATTTAATTTCAATTTTTAAAACTAGACAGGGTTTTTGCACCTGAAAAATAAGTTCCTTATAGCTTACACACAACCTTTCCTAAAGCTCACAACGTAGGGTCCCATTTTGTTGACAATTCCAGTTGAAGGCCAAATTTTAAATTTTCCTGGGGTTTTAAAATATTGTGCACATATCTACCTGTGGCGGGACGTTTAAGTTTAAAATTTAAATAATAATAATAACTTTATTGAGTATCATAAAAAAAAATAACAAGAAAACAAAATAAGTAAACAAAAATAAATAAATAATGCATACTCAAAAGAGAAAAAACTCAGTTAACACGGTTCCAACCCGGAAAACGATCATGTGTTGATTCCGACCGTAGAAGTCTCCGAAATTATTAAGGAATCAAAACATTAAAAAATCCTAAAACCGAAAAATTGAAAAATCGAAATACCGAAGAACTTAAAATCAAAAAATCGAAACATCTGAAAATCGAAAAAATGTAAAATTCAAAAAACTAAAATTTAAAAACCGAAAAACGAAAAATCGAAACTCCAAAATTTATAAAAACAAAAAATTGAAAAATCGGACAACTGAAAAATCGAAACATCGAAAAACCGGGAAATCGAAAAATCAAAAGATCTAGAAATCGAAGAGTCGAAAAATCGAACAATTGAGAAACCGAAATAAGACAAAATCGAAAAATCGAAAAGTTAGAAATTGAAAAATTGATAAATCGAGAAATTGACAAGCAAAACATCGAAAAAATCCAAATCTCAATAAATCGAGAAATCAAAAAATTTAAAAATTCGAAAAATTGAAAAATTGAGAAATCGAAAAAAACAAAAAGTTAAAGGTTGAAAAATTGGAAAAGTGGAAAAAAAACGAAAAACGGAAAACTGAAAAAACTGAGAAACCGAAATAGGCCAAAATAAAATTCGAAAAGTTATAAATTGAAAAACTGATAAATCGAGAAACTGAACCATCAAATCTCGTTAATCGGGAAATCAAATCACTCAAATATCGAAAAATTGAAAAATTAAAAAAATCGAAAATTTGAAACAAGGAAAAATTGAAAAACAGAGAATCTAAAACCGGAAGTGGAAAAATCGAAAAATTAAGAAATCGAAACATTTGAAAAATTCAAGAACTTGAAAAATTGAAATATCGAAGAACTGTTTAATTTGAGTTAAATATCAAAAATTGAAAAATCGAAAAAAGAAAAAAAATCAACACATCGAAAAATTCAGAAGCCAAAAATCGAAAAGTCGAAGAATCAAAATATTGAAAAATCCCAAAACTGAAATATCGAAAAACTGAAAAATGAAAGAAAAACTGAAAATGGAAGAATTGAAATATGCAAAAACTGTGAATCTAAAAAATCGAAAAATTAAAAAATCAAAAACCTGAAAAGCTAACAATTGAAGAATTGAAAAACAGGAAAATTGAAACACTCGAAAGTCAAGAAATGGATGAAAAATCGAAAAATAAGAGTTTATAAAAGTCAAATTTGAAAAATTGAAAAAAATCGAAAATTTGAAAAAACGACAACTGAAAAAACAGAAAATCTAAAACCAGGAAGTCGAAAAATCCATACATTTGAAAAATTGGAACACTTGAAAAATTAAAATATCGAAGAACTGATATGAAAAATTGAGAAATGGAAAAATCTAAAATTTTACAAATTGAAAAATTAAAATATCAAAAAATTAAAAAATCTAAAGTTTAAAAATCAAAAAATTGAAAAATCAAAAAAGTAAAAATCGAAGTCGAAGAATCCAAATATTGAAAAATCCCAAAACTGAAATATCCAAAAACTCACAATCTAAAAATAAATATTGAGAAATCGAAAAATCAGAAAAGTGAAGTCAAAATATCGAAACCTTAAAAAAATCGAAAAAGTGAAAAATCAAAAACCTTAAAAATCGAAAAATTGAAGAACTGGAAAATCGAAACAGTCGAAAATCAAAAAATGGGAAAATCAAAACATCAGTTAATTGAAATATCGAAAAATTGAGAATTTAGAAAAGTCAAAAATTGAAAAATTGAAAAATCGAAATATTTAAAAATCGTAAAATTGAAGAGGAGAAAAATTGGAAAAACGTAATATTGAAACATCGGAAAATTGAGAAATCAAAAAATTGAATATCGTGGAATTGAAAGATTGAGAAATTGTAAAATCGAAAAACTAAATAATAAAGTGAAAAATCCCAAAACTAAAATTTCAAAAAATTGAAAAATGAAACAAAAAGTGAAAAATTCCAAAACTGAAATGTCCAAAAATTGAAAAATTAAAAAATTGAAAATTTGAAAGAACGAAAAACTGAGAAACAGAAAATCTAAAACCGGGAAGTCGACAAATCGAAAAATTAAAAAAATGAAACTTTGAACGAAAAATTGAAAAACAAAATCTAAAACCGGAAGTCGAAAAATCGAAAGATTAAGAAATCGAAACATTTGAAAAATTCAAAAATTTGAAAAATTTAAATATCGAAGAACTGAAATTAAAATATCAAAAATTCAAAAATTGAAAAAGTAAAAAATCGACACATCGAAAAATTCAGAAACCAAAAAACGGAAGAAGAATCGAAATATTGAAAAATCCCAAAACTGAAATATCGAAAAACTAAAAAATAAAAGAAAAACTGAAAAATCCGAAAACTGAAATATGCAAAAGCTGAGAATCTAAAAAATCGAAAAATTGAAAAATCGAAAAATCAAAAAGTGAACTCGAAAAATCGGGTGGCGGAAAATTTATCGAAACACAAATTATCGAAAACAAAATATCGAATACATTTTATCGAAAAACAAAATATCGAAAGTGCAATTTATCGAAAGTACAATTATTCGAAACACAATTTATCGAAAGTACAATTTATCGAAACACAAGTTATCGAAAGAACAATTTATCGAAACACAAATTATCGAAAGAACAATTTATCGAAACATAATTTATCGAAGTACAAATTATCGAAACTACAAAATACCGAAAAACAAATTATCTAAAGCACAAATTATCAAAAATACAAAAAGTCGAAGCCGAGATCGAAGCAAAATTATCGAAGTAAAAAAAAATTGATTGCATTTGACTGAAATTTAAAAAAAATGCAAACACCCAAGAATGCCGAGGAAGGATCCTAAATTTAAGCACATTCTGTGGAACTTCTTTGATTCAATTATCGAACATTATCCAAATACCAACAATTTCGTTGAAGCCTGGCACAGAACCCTGCATAATCAGTTCCACGCCAAAAAACCATCGATTTGGAAATTCTTGGAGGGACTTTTGCGGGAACAGTCGCTTACAGAATTTAAGACCAATCAGTCCAACGCCGGTAATCAAGAACCGCAAAGAAAAAAGTACAAAGATAAGAATAAAAGATTGCAAGTGATCGTCAGTCGATTTCGAGAGGAATATGAAGAGACAGGCGATTTTGTTATTAACTATTTGAAAAATGTTGCTTTAAATTTATAATAAAGGTCCCTTGTTCTTGTTCGTTAATTCGAAATTTTGCATCTTCTATAATTTTTTCGATATTTTGTAGTTTCGATATTTTGTCGTTTCGATAAATTATGTTTCGCTATTTTGTCCTTTCGATAATTTGTGTTTCGATAAATTGTACTTTCGACAACTTGTGTTTCGATAATTTGTCCTTTCGATAATTTGTGTTTCGATAAATTGTACTTTCGACAACTTGTATTTCGATAAATTGCACTTTCGATATTTTCTTTTTCGATAAAATGTATTCGATATTTTGTTTTCGATAATTTGTGTTTCGATAAATTTTCCGTCACCCGAAAAATCGAAACCTTAAGAAATCGAAAAATTGAAAAATCAAAAACCTGAAAAGTCTAACAATTGAAGAATTGAAGAACAGGAAAATCGAAAGACGTCAAGTCAAGAAATGGACACCGATTAATTGAAAAGTCGAAAAATTGAGAGTTTATAAATGTCAAATTTGAAAAATTGAAAAATCGAAAAATTGAAAAAACGACATTAAAAAACAGAAAATCTAAAACCAGAAAGTCGAAAAATCGAAAGATTAAGAAATCTAAACATTTGAAAAATTCGAAAACTTGAAAAATTAAAATATCAAAAAATTGAAAAATCTAAAATTTAAAAATCAAAAAATTGAAAAATCGAAAAGGTAAAAAAAATCGACACATCGAAAACTCCAGGAGTTAAAAATCTTAAAGTCGAAGAATCCAAATATTGAAAAAAATTAAAGAAAAACAGAAAAATATCGAAGAACTGAAATAAAAAATCGATAAATCGAAAAACCTAAAATTTTACAAATTGAAAAATTAAAATATAAAAAAATTGAAAAATCTAAAATTTAAAAATCAAAAAAATTCAGAAGCCAAAAATCGAAAAGTCGAAGAATCGAACTATTGAAAAATCCCAAAACTAAATTATCGAAAAACTGAAAAATGAAAGAAAAACTGAAAATGGAAAATCTGAAAAATCCGAAAACTGAAAAATGCAAAAACTGAGAATCTAAAAAATCGAAAAATTGAGAAATCGAAAAATCAAGAGTGAAGTCGAAAAATCGAAACCTTAAAAAATTGAAAAATTGAAAAATTAAAAACCTGAAAAATCTAAGAATTGAAGAATGGAAAAACAGGACAATCGAAACACTCGAAAGTCAAAAAATGGACATTGATTAACAGAAAAATCGAAAAATTAAGAGTTTATAGAAGTCAAACTTGAAAAATTGAAATATCGAAGAACTGAAATGAAAAATCGAGAAATCGAAAAACCTAAAATTTTACTAATTGAAAAATTAAAATATCGAAAAATTTAAAAATCAAAAAATTGACAAATCTAAAAAATAAAAAAATCGACACATCGAAAAATCCGGGAGTCAAAAATCTTAAAGTCTCAACTGAAGTCAAAACTGAAAAATGAAAGAAAAACTGACGAATGGAAAAACAGAAAAATTCCAAAACTGAAATATCCAAAAACTCAGAATCTAAAATTAAAAAATTGAGAAATCAAAAAATCAGAAAAGTGAAGTCAAAATATCGAAACCTTAAAAAAAATGAAAAAGTGAAAAATCAAAAACCTTAAAAATCGAAAAATTGAACTGGAAAATCGTAGCATTCGAAAACCAAGAAATGGGAAAATCAAAACATCGATTAATTGAGAAATCGAAAAAGTGAGAATTTAGAAAAGTCAAAAATTGAAAAATCGAAATATTTAAAAATCGTAAAATTGAAGAGAAAAATTGAAAAATCGTAATATTGAAACATCGAAAAATCGAGAAATCAAAAAATCGAATATCATGGAATTGAAAAATTGAGAAATTGTAAAATCGAAAAATGAATAATAAACTGAAAAATCCCAAAACCGATATGTCCAAAAACTGAAAAATTAAAACATTGAAGAATTGAAAAACTGAAAAATTGAAACAGCCGAAAGTCAAGAAATGAGAAAACATCAATTAAATGAAAAATCGAAAAATTGAGAATATAAAAGTCAAAAATTGAAAAATCGAACAATTAAAAAAACGTAAAACTAACATCGGAAAATTGAGAAATCGAAAAACCGAAAATCGAGAAATTGAAAAATTGAGAAATTGTATAATCCAAAAATTGAATAATAAATAAACTGATAATTCCCAAAACTAAAATTTCGATAAACTGACAATTCGAAAGTTGAAAAAGCAAGAAATCGAAAAGCCGAATAACCGAAAAATCTCAAGGTAGAGGATAAAAATTCAACGCAGATTCTTAAACCACAAGTTCAAGACTATGTTACTTTTTAACATTGAAAGTGTTAGTAAAGTTGTTTTAAATTTCATGTTGTGAAAAGAAGTCTACACATATTAAAACAAAAAATCAAAATGTAAGCCCGCCCACCCGCCCAGTCTCAATTGTGATGATTTTTTTTATTCGCCGTGAATCAAGGGGGCGGATCTTAACTGCAAAATAGTTATTTCTTTACAAGAATTTTTTTTCAGTATCTTGTTATTCAAAAAATACCATGTATATTAAGAAAAAAAGGCAAAAATATAAACTCCGCCTATCCACACCATTTCAACTGTAATGATTTTTTTTTATCCTTAGAAACTTAAAATACGTTTAAAATGGTAAATTTTTGTAAGGAAATATGAAGTTTGCAATTAAACTCCGCCCCTAGGTCTGCCAACGAATGAAAACTTCAGGGCAGGTATGGGTGGGGCTTAATATTTGGCTTTAATTTTTTCTTTAATATACATGGTAATTTCTTATAGAGAAATAATAAGGATTTTGCAATTAAATTCCGCTCCTTTGGCTCTCGACGATTAAAAAAAATCATCACAATTGAGATAGGGCGGGTGGGCGGGGCTTACATTTTCTTTTCAGAACCAGACATTTAAAACAAATTTTTAGGTTAGCAATTCTGAATTAGTGGCAACTATGGTTACCATGTTAGTATGTAGGTTCACGGTTGTCAATTTTGACACATGCAGGCATAACAAACGTGTTGATTGGTTAAGACGATGACAGCCACTGATTTAGTGTCATAAATATCAATTTGACAATCAAGTAAGTCATAATTAAATTTTAAAAATATTACCAACCTAACAAAAAAATCGCAAACATTAATAGTCACTCAGTATTTTTTAAAACACATACCATAACCACCGAACGACTTTTTTATTGTATATGATACTGTTCTAATATGTGGTTTTCAATATTACATTTACATAAATTAAACTCTGTAAAATATGTATGCAACCAATTATATACATGTAACAAAACCATACGTGAAACCAACCTATCTATAAACAGATTCTCTAATAGACATCCTTCTACTGCATGGACTTCCGGGTGATTTATTTTACTTTATTATCAAGTTATACTCTGAAGTTCATTCGAATACATTTTTCACAAACATTTTCTTTATGGGGATTTTTGTTCTACAAACGTGGCGTCTCCATAAAAATCATGTCATCACGTGTGTGTGCGCATGCTCAACAACAACGAACTAAGAACACTCCTACGTTTGACGCCTTACTTGGTTTGATCCAGAGATATGTAAAAGACAGATGCAGTTATAGCTTTCCCGATCTAGGGCCAACATCTATGATCTAAGAGTAGCAATACTTTGTGTCGCCTATCCTTTTCTATATCAGCACCAGTACTATGGATTGCCAAGTGTAGGCTACATCCATCACTCTCTAAAAGGTGGTTGTCTTGTTATTGGCCCGTTCTGATGGCGGCAATTGTAAATAATCATAACCACCCACAGTCTGATTGGTCTGACAGGGACCGGCACAAACACAAGAACGGCATCAACGACAAACGTTGCGCCAACTGATTGGTTGCGCCGTACAGAGCGAGACCTTCAGATATCGGATTACCATTGTACGTGCTAGAGAAAAAGAGGGAGATATAAACGTACACTGACATCTTGGGCCTAAACGTATGTCCACGAGAACATTAAATATCTGTATCTAGTCTTTTACATATCTCTGGTTTGATCGAAACTATTTCTTTCAAATTCAGCTGTAAATTTTTCTGTACAGAAATTTTAGCTTATAAACAAATTGTTCACATGAAGTTTTCAGAGTTTTTTGTTTCAATTTTATATTCCAAAATAAAATTAATCTACTTGAACATTATAGTTCTAATTTCTAAAATTTATCTGGTTTTGTTAAACTTGATAAAGATACTTTGTTATACTTATGTCAGTATAAGTACACTTAATTTAAGCCAAATGTGGTAAGGTCGCTTAATGTTAAAATCTAACCGGAAGAGGTGAGGACGCCGGGGCAACAAATTAACAACGTCACTGATATTTATTCTTAAATTGTCATACAATAAAGTTGTTTTAACATATCCTAACCTACAATAATTTACAAGAGTATAAAAAACTGTGCTTCCATTTAAACAAACGTTTTTAAAATAAAAAAATGGAAACACAATCATCACCTCATTGCACAGAAGACCAAAACGGACCAGTCGGAGAGCAATCGAAAGAAACATCAACATCTTGGTACTTGGTAATGGCTTGTTAACCTCACCTGTTTGTTGCCAACTGCAAAAATCCAGACCAGTGATGAGACGCTGATACGAGACAGTGGTTTATGGATGATTGACCGACTAGTTCGGCCGGAACGACTTTCAGCACCCAGCACTACCAACATCAAAATCACAAGACTCCACTCAAAGTCGTTCCTCCGAAACATGATAAATACCTCGGTACAACGACGTAATTGTTTTGAGCTAACACAGCGAAAGTCGGGTTTTAGCCACCGCTCTCACCAGATTTTTTGCAAGTGGAACGATTCTAAAGCGGGTGGATAAAACCGACGTCGCATGGAGTAGTACTCCTATGTGCAATGTATAAATACCTCGTTTAAAATGTCAGGTAAGTACAAAAACAACCGAATGTGTGAGTGTGACCAAGTGGCGACACCATCTCGATCGATACCTGAATACAGCTGAAAACTCATAAGAAAAAAAAGTGGAATCAACCGTTCCTGTTCACACGCAGGAATTTCACAAGGCATTAGCAAAGACCGGTATAATTTTGAAATTGTGGTTTTCATTGAAGATCAACACAACAATTGGACTTCGCGTTGCAACAACAAACACAACAACTCACAAAATTATTTCTTCATTGAAGAAGTTTTCTTGAAAATAACTAAAATGTATTGTAAAGGCGCAAATACAATTTACGGACCCGTTGACAAACAACATACTAATGTATCCGGACCTTAAAATATACTTTAAACAAAAACATTGTCTAGCAACCTTGGAAATTTAACGTTAAAAAAATTATGTTGGCACCACTAACGCGTTTCTTGTCCAGGTTCACAACTACAGCCAAACAACTGTCAAATTAAAAATTACGTCAATAATTCATGTCATTTTCGATGTCTTAAGTTTTTAGTTATCTGTCAACAAGTAATGCAAGATGGAAACCTGAAAAGAAATTTGAGATCTCTGATTCAATCCTGGGAAACTTTTAACCAAATTCCACACCAAGGAGTAACAACTCCAAAAATCTGTTTATTAAAAAAAACCTGTTAAATTGTAGATTTTTTTGTCTTCATTTTTATTTAATATTTTCCCTCTTTTTGTTTTCATTTTCTTATTTGTCTTAACTTATTATTCCACCAAATTCAATAAAAGAAGACAAATAAAACACATTTATATGTCCAATTGTTGTGAAGAATACATCTTGCACATAAAATGTCGTAGAACACTTACAAAAATAAAATTATCCTTTTAAAAAAAAAATAATAAAGGCTTGCATTCTTCGCAACTCCGTTAATTATTTCTACTGTATCAACCAAATAAAAAAATATAAGCCATTATCACATTCTTCAAGTTCTCAACTTACTTCAATCACATAACCTAGAAAATCGCAGTAACTTTTTGTAGGTATTCTACTAAAAAATCTGCCCTTCAAAATGAAAAAGCAATCGAAATATCTTATAAAAAATACAAAAAATTAAGGACACTTATACAATCACTAACCTGTAGGACAGCTGAAAAACAAATTTAAAACGTAAACTAGAAAGCCACCTACCTGGAGTGCTTGATCTTACTGGTCTAACGGAGAGAACCAACTCAACGTCGATATGCATGATGTCGACTCCTTCCTACACAAACCGTTTTAGTCAACCACGCCTCACAAAATTTTAAACTCACCGGAATCCCGGTCAGAGCGATGCTTCCTCTCCCGTTCTCTCTCCTTCTCCCTCTCACGTTCTCTTTCCTTACTCCTCCGTGCCTCTCTGTCTCTCCTCTCCCTTTCCTTCCTCTCCTTCTCTCTTTCTTTATCTTTATCTCTCCTATCTTTCTCTTTATCTGACCTGTTAATAGCTCGATAACACCTCGTCACGCAAACCCCCCACTCACCTGTGCTCTGACCGATTCCTTTCCAAATCCTTCTCCCTCCTCTTTTCTCTGTCTCTTTCTCTCTCACGCTCGCGCTCGGACTCACGACTACGTCTCTCTTCAGAGCCCACTCTGCTTCTACCCAGACGCCGCTCCTCTTTGGCGGTTTGAACAACGGCGGTAATTTCGTCCAGAGCCTGCTTCAAACGGGCAAAACCCACGTGCTGTTTGCCCATCAGATGGTCGTCGATACGCTGCTGGGCGTCGCCCACGATAAGAAAAGCACCGCAGACTTGACAGACTTCCATTTGTTTCTCCTGGGCGGCTGCCAACTCGGCAGTGGCGTTCCAGTGCCTGAAAGAGGCCAACTCTGAATCAAAATGTTTTCCACAATATTTGTAACGAACTGTCAAACAGCGGCACTGCCAACACAATTACAATTAAAAATTAATTTCATGGCCCACTTGATGACTCGTTTACATCAATTACTTACCCGTTTTCAATTTGTTTCCTCAAAGCATCCCTCTCCTCTTTCAGTTGGTCGCACAATTTCATTAAACCCTGGGCTTGTTCAACATTACCATCAGTGCCCGCTTGCTCGGCTTCGGCCTCCAGCCCATTGATCCTCTCGTTCAGGATTTTGATCTGTTCTTGATTTTTCTGGGACTGCGCTGGCGATATTGAGGGTAGCTCAGACTTTCCGCTGAGCGCCAGCCGCATTTTTCCCTTCTGTATTTTGCGTTCGACTTCGTTAATCATGGATGAACAGAACCGGATGAACTCTTCTTGGTAGTGGATTTTGCGATGGGGCTTCGCCTGTTGGAACATCTTGCGAACTTCTTCATCGTGCACTTTCGAGCAAGCGCCTAAGTCGGCGCGCGTGTTCACGAACAGGTCGTGGGGGCAGAACTTCACCATAAAGTATTTGCAATACTGGAAGAGTGAGGTTAGGTTAAAGTCCGGTTTATTTTATAACTCACCTCCGGGTCTTCCCAATTCAGTTCTTTGACTTTCTCATTGGGGGCTACGTTGCGGTTTCGCCCCATTAACTCATCTAGAAGCTGTGCTGCCGCTAGCACAGCCATTTTTAACAACCTTTTGACTTTTGTTGATTTGTCAATATGTCAATGTCAATAATTAGGAATTTTCGTCTTTAAAATTGGTACACTAAATTAACTTTAATTGAATTTTTACTTAAAAAAAGGTGAGACTTGACGAAAACCCGCACCGTGCACTCTACTAACAACAATCTGAATGATAAAAACCACCACATTGAGCGTCAAAGGCGAAAAATGCGGTACAAGTGTCGGGTTTTGGGGATATCACTGTCCAACAGTTGCCGCTCCAATCCGTGCCAACTCACCAGACTGTCACGCTGACAGTTGCCAAAGAGGTTAAGTTGCAATGTTGAAATTAAAAATACAAATTTACCAGTAATCTAGCTGTGATAATGTCGATACGTGTAAACCTTATCACTTAGAAAAATTCAAACTCCTTGTGATACACACCGCTACTTAATGAAGCATCAAATTAATGGAACCAAATCACTTACGCATGCAACTTCTCTCCGACGACGAGATGGGTTCCTCAAAAGATTGGAGAAAAGCACTACGAGCACAGCCCGCTTACAGAATCGTCAATCGAACGATACGTGGCCAGACGCAGTTCATTTCGATAGTGGCGTTCATCGGACTGTTTGTTTTGATCATTTTGTACATGTTCCCCAGGAAAGGGGGCAGCTCGGGCAGCGTGCTGAGAAGTAGCAGTTATAATTACACGTATCCTTTGACTAGTCCTATTAAAACTAGTTCCATGCATACGTTTCGGATAGGTGTTATTGCTGATTTGGACACTAATTCGAGAAGTGACAGTGACAAGAATGAGTGGTATTCACACTTTATGAGGGGGTATTTGAGCTACAGTCCGACTAGGCACACTGTGGTGGTCACGTGGGATCGCACTAGTCCGATTAGACTTACTACGAGCTACTCACATAAAGGAAGGGGGATGGAATTGTCGGAGTTGGTTGTTTTCGATGGGAGGTTGTTGACGTTTGATGATCGGACGGGGTTGGTGTTTGAGATTATAAATGATAAGGCGATTCCATGGGTGCTGCTGATGGACGGAGATGGCAAGTGAGTATGGGTACTATTTTTTTTTTTAAAGTCACCACATTTGATTTATTATGTTGGTTAAAAATAAATATCCCTGAAATAAAAACAAACACTAAATTTAATTTCCCGCCAATTTTTAATACTTTGTATGACACTTGTGTTAGAAGATCCATTTATGTAAGCATGACATTCATTAACATTTTTGACACCAGACATTTTGTCAAAATGCTCACCTGTGTTTTGTTTTGGAATGTCAGAAATGAAAAAAGATGGTGGACTGTGTTCTCAGGCAGCAAAAAAAGAGCGTAAATAAAAAAAGCACATTTGGAAGATTTTTATTTACAAAAAAATTTGAACTAGAAAACAAAACCTAGAAAAATGCCTCATTGACGCAATTGAATGTTTAAATTGATTAAATACATCTTCGCAACACTGATTTGATTTATTATTTTCAATAAATTATTATCAGTATTTTTACCGTGTGCTAAATTGACGTTCAATGTTGGTCGTCATTAATCATTTGTTATCTCAAATAATCGATTTCTGCATTAATTTAGTTTATTCAGGTTCGTTTTTGTACGTTTTATTTTGTTTTGGAGTGTCAATTTCAAGGTCGGGAATTGAATTTGAGAATTATGATGCGACATTTGCTTGCCACAATATCAATAATAGATTTGTTTTCATTAAATGACGTTTCATTGAAGATATGCTTAATTGACAATAAACTTTGGAGCTCTAATCTGGTCGTTTAATTTAAATAGTTAACTTTTTCCATTTTGCGAAATTCTCGATTTCTCAATTTTTCGGTTTCCCAATTTGTCAAATTTTTGCTTCTGCATTTTTCGAGTTCTCCATTTTCCAAATTTTTAGTTCTGCATTTTTCGATTTCTCAATTCTTTTATTTTTTCGAATTTTCGATTTCTCGAGTAATCGATTTCTCCATTTTTTTTTTTTGGTTTTGCATTTTTCGGTTTCCATTTTCTCGATTTTTAAACTTTCATCTTGATTTTTCGAGTTTTCGAATCCTCAATTTTTCATTTTTTTCATTGTTCGAATTTTCAATACTTCGATTTTCCGACTTTTTATTTTGATTTTTCGAATTCTCAATTTTCCGTTTTTTTTAATGTTGATTGTATGATTTTTTAAATTTCCAATTTTCGTTATTTTCGATTGTTTGAGTTCTCAATTCTCAGTTTTTTGATTTTTCAATTTTCCTAATTCTCAATTTTTCGATTTCCCGATTTTCGATTTTTGGAGTTCCCGAATTCTAGTTTTCTCGATTTCTCAACTTCCCAATTTATCCATTTTTGGGTTCTGCATTTTTGGATTTCCCGATTTTTCGAATTCCCGATTTCTCGAGTTCTTTATTTCCCTTTTTTGATTCTGCGTTTTTCCGATTTTTTCGATTTCTCGATTTTTAGAATATTCGAATTCTCAATTTTTCGTTTTTTTAATTGTCTGATTTTTAAAATTTTCGATTTTTCTATTTCTCAATTTTTTTTTTGGTTATTTTATTTTTCGGTTTTTCGAGGTTTCAATTTTTCGAGTTCTATTTGTCTCGATTTCTCAGTTTCTCAATTTCGAAATTTTTTCATTTTTGGTTCTGCATTTTTCAATGTTTCGATATTTCGAAAGCTCGATTTCTCGAGTTCTCGATTTCTTAATTTCCCCATTTTCTGATTTTTCGATTCGATTTCATGATTTTTCAAATTGTTTTCCGAATTTTTATTGAATCTTTTTTCGATTTGTGGATTTTTCGATGTTTAGATTTTTCAATTTTTCGAATTCTCAAATTTTCGTTTTTTTTTTGTTGAATGTATGATTTTTGGGTTTTTCGATTTTTCGAGTTCTCAATTCCCGTTTTTCGATTTTTCGATGTTAGATTTTTCGAATTTTCATCTTGATTTTTCGATTTTCCGAATTCTGTCTTTCGTTTTTTTTTATTATATGATTTTTCGATTTTTGGATTTTTCAGTTTTGGAGATTTCGATTTTTCGTGTTCTCAGTTCTCGATTTTTCGGTTTCGATATTTAGATTTTTCCAATTCTCAATTTTTCGTTTTTTCAATTGTCTGATTTTTGGATTTCTTGATTTTTCGAATTTTCATTTTGGTTTTTCAAATTCCCAATTTTTCGAGTTCTCTAATTCTAGTTTTCTCGATTTTTCAATTTCGCAATTTTTTCATTTTTGGGTTCTGCATTTTTCGAATTCTCGATTTCTCGAGTCCCCGATTTCTTAATTTCTCCATTTTTTGATGCTGTATTTTTTGATTTTTCGATATTTCGAATTGTCATCTTTTCGGTTTTCGGAATTTTCAGTTTTTCATTTTTTTTGTTGAATATTTTTTCGATTTTTGAATTTTTGACTTTTTGAATTCTCAATTTTTCGTTTTTTTTTTTGTTGAATGTATGATTTTTTGGGTCTTTCGATTTTCGATTTTTTTAATTCTCAATTCTCGATTTTTCGATGTTTAGAATTTCCGATTTTTCGAATTTTCATCTTGATTTTTCGAATTTTCGTTTTAATTTTTCGATTATCCGAATTCTCAGTTTCTCGTTGTTTTTTTTATTGTATGATTTTTCGATTTTTGGATTTTTCAATTTTCGAAATTTCAATTTTTCGTATTCTCAGTTCTCGATTTTTCGGTTTTTCGATATTTAGATTTTTCTAATTCTCAATTTTTCGTATTTTCATTTGTCCGATTTTTTGGATCTTTTGATTTTTCGAATTTTCATTTTAATTTTTAGAAATCTTAATTTTACGCTTTTTTGGTTGTGCGATTTTTACGGTTTTTCAATGTTTCAATTGTCCGAATTATCTAATTCTAGTTTTCTCGATTTCGCAATTTTTGCATTCTGCATTTTTCGATTTATCGACTTTTCGAATTCTCCTTTGCTCAAATCCTCGATTTTTAATTTCTCCATTTTTTTTATTCTGCATTTTCCGAATTTTCGATTTTCGAATTTTCATCTTGATTTTTCGATTTTCGGTTTTTGGATTTCTCAATTTTTCGGTTTTTCGTCGATTAGATTTTTCGGTTTTTTGAATTCTCAATTTTTCCATTTTTTGATTCTGCATTTACCGATTTCTCAGTTTTTCGATTTCCCAACTTTCGATTTTTAAACGTTACGAGTTTTCCAATTTTCGATTTTCCGAATTCCCAATTTTTCGATTTTTTTTTTGGTTTTACAATTTCTCGACACCCCAATTTTTCACATTTTTGGTTCTGCATTTCTCGATTTTTAGACTTCTCAATTTTTTGGATTTTTCGAATTCTCGAGTTCTCGATTTCTGAATTTGTCAATTTTTTGATTGTGCATTTTCCGATTTCCCGAGTTTCAATTTTTACCTTGATTTTTCAAATTTTTAATCTGAGTTTTGGATTCTCCGAATTTTCAGTTTTTCGTTTTTTTTTTTATTGAATGTTTTTTTCGATTTTTACATTTTTCGATGTTTGAATTTTCCGATTGATTTTTCAAATTTTTGGGTCTACATTTTTCGATTCCTCGATTTTTTGAATTCTCAATTTGGTGATTTTTCGAATTCTCGAGTTCTCGATTTCTGAATTTCTCCATTTTTGGAATTATCATCTTGATTTTTCGAATTTTCAATTTGATTTTTCTGTTTTTGCAATTTTCGGTATTTTCAATTTGAGGTCTCGATTTTCCGAATTTTCAGTTTTCCTTTTTTTATGGAATATTTTTTCGATTTTTCCGTTTTTCGATGTTATGATTTTTCGATTTTTGGGTTTTAGATTTTCCATATTTTGGGTTTTACAATTTCTCGACACCCCAATTTTTCACATTTTTGGTTCTGCATTTTTCGATTTCTCGATTTTTAGAATTCTCAATTTTTTGATTTTCCGAATTCTCGAGTTTTCGATTTCTGAATTTCTCCATTTTTTGATTCTGCATTTTCCGATTTCCCGAGTTTCAATTTCTTGATTTTTCCAATTTTCATCATGATTTTTCAAATTTTTAATTGAACTTTTGATTTTCCGAATTTTCAGTTTTTCGTTTTTTTTCTATTGATATTTTTTCGATTTTTCCATTTTTCGATGTTTGGATTTTCCGATTTTTCGAATTCTCAATTTTACGTTTTTTTTTGTTGATTGTATGATTTTTCGATTTTTTGGTTTTTAGATTTTCCATATTTTGGATTTTATGGGTTCTCAATTCTCGATTTTTTTTCGGCATTTAGATTTTTCCTATTCTCAATTTTCCGTTTTTTTTTAATTGTTTGATTTTTGGATTTCTCCATTTTTGAATTTCAATTTTCTGATTTATTCAATTTTCCAAATTTTAGATTTTTCGAATTCTCAGTTTTTCGTATTTTGGGTTGTGCGATTTTTAGATGATTCAATTTTCCGAGTTCTCGAATTCTAGTTTTCTCGATTTCTCAATGTTCTCCATTTCTAGGTTCTGCATTTTTCAATTTTTCGAATTCTCGATTTCTTAATTTTTCCATTTTTTGACACTATTTACCGATTTCTCGATTTTTCGAATTTTCAATTTTTGGATTTTTCAGTTTTCTAAGTTCCCAATTACGAGATTTCTAGAATTCTCAATTTTTGTTTTTTTTTTTTTGGTTTTACAATTTCTTGATGCACCAATTTTTCAAATTTTTGGTTCTACATTTTTCGATTTCTCGATTTTTTGAATTCTCAATGTGTTGATTTTTCGAATTCTCGAGTTCTCGATTTCTGAATTTCTCCATTTTTTGATTCTCTATTTTCCGATTCCCCGGGTTTCAATTTCTCCATTTTTGGAATTTTCATCTTGATTTTTCGAATTTGCAATTTGATTTTTCGATTTTTGGAATTTTCAATATTTTCAATTTGAGTTTTTAATTTTCCGAATTTTCTGTTTTCCTGTTTTTTTTTTATTGAGTATTTTTTCGATTTAATAGCTGATAATAGCGCGGGGGGCTTATTTTAACAAAAACAGCGGCTTCACGAAAACACAACTCTATTTAGTGATAGTTCACAACGCAATGCCATCCAACATATCTTCGCTAGCGCCACTTAACAACCCTCTCGCACCGCCTCCGTCGTACCAGCCCTTTCTGACCTTCTGCGACCTCAGTTAAATAAAGACAGTGGCGTAGCAGGGGAATTGGTGTTGGCAATGAGGCTCACCGCTAACAGATTTTTGCGTTTTTCGATGTTATGACTTCGATTTTTGGGTTTTAGATTTTCCGTATTTTGGGTTTTACGAGTTCTCAATCCTCGATTTTTTGGTTTTTCAATATTTAGATTTTTCCTGTTCATAATTTTTCGTTTTTTCGATCGTCTGATTTTTGGATTTTTCGATTTTTCGAATTTCAATTTTTTGATTTTTCAATTTTCCGAATTCTCAATTTCTCGATTAGCTGATTTTCGATTTTTAGAGTTTTCGAATTTTCGATTTTTGGAATTCTCAATTCTCCAACGTGCGATTTTTTTATGCTTCAATATTTCGAGTTCTCGAATTCTATTTCTAGATTTCTTAATTTCTTGATTTCTCCATTTTTCAAATTTTTGTTCTGCATTTTTCGATTACTCGAATTCTCGATTTCACGAGTTCTCGATTTAATTTTTTCAATTTTTTGATTCTGCATTTTCCGATTTTCTGAGAACTCTTGATGCACCAATTTTTCAAGTTTTTGGTTCTACATTTTTCGATTTCTCAATTTTTTGAATTCTCAATTTGTTGATTTTTCGAATTCTCGAGTTCCCGATTTCTGAATTTCTCCATTTTTTGATTCTGCATTTTCCGATTCCCCGAGTTTCAATTTCTCCATTTTTGGAATTATCATCTTGATTTTTCGAATTTTCAATTTGATTTTTCGGTTTTTGCAATTTTCGGTATTTTCAATTTGAGGTTTCGATTTTCCGAATTTTCAGTTTTCCGTTTTTTTTATTGAGAATATAATTCATGTAACACATGATCCCATTTCTTCCAATAGAATTTGTTCATGCCCTTAGTTACATGTCTATCACAGCGATAATAATTTTATTGCCTTATTGTGGTCTGTTGCTACCTAAATTTAAAAACTGTCAAATTGACAAATTTTAGAATTTCATAAATTTTTTTGTCTTTTATGGCTTGCCAACGTTGGGGGCAAGCTCAAAACGACGAAATCAATTCTATTATCAAAAAATGTGTTCATTTATTATATTCTCATGTTGAATATAACTCGTGATATGATTAATAATCGAAGATATGGCTCGTGAAACCGAAGCAGCACATTCAACTCGTGCTTCGCACTCGTTGAATCTGCAGCTCGGTTTCACTCGAAATATTATCGATAATAATCATATCACTTGTTATATTATAATTGAATATTTTTTCGATTTTTGCGTTTTTCGATGTTATGATTTTTCGATTTTTGGGTTTTAGATTTTCCATATTTAGGGTTTTACGAGTTCTCAATCCTCAATTTTTTGGTTTTTCGATATTTAGATTTTTCCTGTTCTCAATTTTTCGTTTTTTCAATTTTCCGAATTCTCAATTTCTCGATTAGCTGATTTTCGATTTTTAGAGTTTTCGAATGTTCGATTTTTCGAATTCTCAATTCTCTGTTGTGCGATTTTTTGATGCTTCAATATTTCGAGTTTTCGAATTCTATTTTTCCCGATTTCTTAATCTCTTGATTTCTCCATTTCTCAAATTGTTGTTTCTGCATTTCCCGATTTGTCGATTTTCAGTTTCTCAATTTTTCGAATTTTAATTTTAATTTTTCAATTTTCCGAGTTCTCAAGTTCTCGATTGTCGATTTTTAATGAAATGTCAATTTGAAGGTCGAATTTAAATTTAAAAATAAATTTTACAGTAAAATGTCAATTTCGACCACTAGACACTTTTATATCCGTGCAAATATCAAAATTGTAGTGTGACATTTACTTGCAACTGTGCCTATAGCAGATTTATTTTCATAAGATGACGTTTCACTAAAAATACGCTTAATTGAAAATAAACTTTGGAGCTCTTATCTAGTCCTCCTAATTAAATCTTTAAGTAGCTTCAAAGTACAATTTTAATCAACACGATTTTATTACCGCACTTAAAAATTACAAACGCCACCGTATGAAACCAATAAACTTTATTACACTCTAAATGTAATTATTGGAGATGAATTTCACGAATTTTTGCTGTTAACAGAAACACCAAGGGTTTCAAATCCGAGTGGGCCACCGTCAAAGACGAGGTTTTATACGTGGGCTCCATGGGAAAAGAGTGGACAACACCCAGTGGACAATTAGTAAACCACAACCCCCAGTTTGTGAAAACCATAACGACGAAGGGTCAAGTGAATATCTCCACTTTTATACGATTTATGAAAAATTTTAACTCAGGTTTTAGGTGACTCATCTGAATTGGGTGGATGAGTTTAAGCGCCTCCGGGAAGTCCTGGGCATATACTGGCCCGGCTATATGATCCACGAAAGTGGCGTATGGTCCGATGTTCACCGACGTTGGTTCTTTTTACCAAGACGATGCAGTAAAGAGCAATACAACGAATCCTTGGACGAACACAGAGGGTGTTCGGTTTTAATAAGCACAAATGAGGATCTCTACGATGTTAAAACAACCCAAGTGAGTTTGAGTTTGGTGAGTTTAGTGTGTATCTAGTGAGATTTTCGCAGATTTTGAACTCCAAACCCACGAGAGGTTTCTCCAGTTTCAAATTCATCCCGTCTTCAGAAGATCAGGTCATTGTGGCCTTGCGAACCGAAGAACTCGACGGCAAGACCTCAACTTACATCACGTCCTTCACAATCCACGGCGAAGTATTACTAGACGATTTTTATATGTCCGATTTGAAGTACGAAGGACTCGAGTTCATTTAGCATTCCTTACATAGAACATTGTACATGCAATTTTGTAATATATTTGTAAATTATTGTTTATTTAAATAAAAAATCACGATTCTCCATTCATTTCCTTCCCCCACTCCGCGCCCGAAATTCCTAAACACAACACTGCGCCACCTTCCGGGACGTAAAGGGGTGGAAATCGATAATTCACGTAGTAAACCATGAATGAACACCCCTTCAAGTAGTGTGGCATTGACACATCTGTCAAAATAAACGTTTTGTTTTCGGTTATTCGTCCCGTTAAATTTTAGTGAGTGTAATTAACCACCAGCAGTCCCTCCAACAAGTACAATAACCAAAACATGCTTCAATACCACTGATCGATCACCCCATCGGGACGAAACTAGCATGGCTTCAGGAATAAACGAGCACAAGGCGAACGTGGTTTGCGACGAAGAAGTGCCTGACTGGGTGCTGGCGAAACGGGGGATTAAGCTGCTAATAAACAACAATGCGAGAGAGGCTCAAGAGCTCTTTTCCCGATACCCAGATAATATAACCATGTGCGCAGGATATTCCTTCGCAGCTTTTATGGTAATTTTTGTGTGTTGTGGTGACGGCCGTGGAAAAAAGTCGCACTATTGGCGCAGCTAAAGGTCGTTTTTCTCGGCAACAATTTTAAAAATAGAGAAAACAATAATTTCTGGATCATGGTTTCATAATCACTTCTTTTTTGTTTTAATGTTTTATTGGTCCAGAAAATATACATTTTGCCAGATTCACTAAATAACATACTTCCATTCTGGTTGTTTATGAATCCGCCTTTATTTTTAGTCCGTCGAGGAATTTTCGTGTTTTAAAATTTAAAATATCGTGGTAAAATTCTAACCAAAATTTGGATAATTATCCCCACCACCAATGGGAAGACATCTTCAAAATTTACAATCGTAAAAATTGTATAACATTTTGCAACTTGACTTTGGAAATAGAAGATCGAATGCTCTGAAATCTTGTAAACATTTTAAAGTTATCGTAATTATGGTAAATTGTTAATTAAAATTTATTTGTTTATCCCCTCCACAAAATTTTGCCGAATAAATTCTCTCTGAAATATGCAAAATATTATGACTCTATACTTATGGTTTATCATAGTTTTTAGAATTACTTATACAGGGTGAGGGTTGTTTAAAAAAATTATGAATGAGGCAATTTATTGTATTGAGTAAATCAAAAACGCCTCACTCCATTTTTCCAAAATTTGCTACACGTGTCCTTGCAAAATTTTGTAAAAATTCACTTGTTCAAATGAATTTTCATTTTTTGATTTTTCAATTTTTCGAGTTCTAAATTTCTCGATTTTTGGTTTTGCATGTTTTGACTTCTCGATTTTTGAATTCCAAATTTTTTGATTTTTCGATTTCTCAACTTCTCGATTTTTTGAGTTCTTGATTTGTCAATTTCTCTATTTTTTCGGTTGTGTGATTTTCCGGTTTTTCGATGTTTCCATTTTTCGAATGCTCTAGCTTATTTTTTCAGTCTCTCAAATTTTTGGTTCTGCATTCTTCGATTTGTGAAGTTCTTGATTTCTCAGTTTTTCCATTTTATATTGTGAATTTCTGAATTTTCGAATTTTTATTTCGATTTTTCGAGTTCTCTTTTCTTGATTTTTCGGTTGTTCGATGTTTAGATTTTTCGATTTTTCAAATATTCAATTTTTTGATTTTTCGAATTTTCTATTTTTAGATTTTCCGAATTCTCAATTTTTCGTTTCTTCGATATTTCAATTTTTCAAGTTCTCGAATTCCAGTTTTCTCGATTATCCAATTTCTCAAATTTTTGGTTCTGCATTTTTTGGTTTTTCGAGTTTTCGGGTTCTCAATGTCTCCATTTTTTGAATCCGCATTTTTCGTTTTCTCAATCATTCGATTTTCAAATTTTGATTTTTCGAATTTTCACTTATGTGATTGTTCGATTTTCGCTTTTTCGAGTTCTCAATTCTGGATTATTCGGTTTTTCCATGTTTAAATTTTTCGATTTTTCGAATTCTCAATTTTTCGTTTTTTCAACTGTTTGATTTTTCGAATTTTCAATTTTTTAATTTTTCGATTTTTTGAGTTCTCAATTTCTGGATTTCCTATTTTTAGATTTTTCGAATTCCCAATTTTTCGTTTCTTCGATATTTCCATTTTTCGAGTTCTCGAATTCTAGTTTTCTCGATTATCCAATTTCTCAAATTTTTGGTTCTGCATTTTTTGGTCTTTCAATTTCTGGATTGTCAATTTTTCGATTTTTCGGATTTTCAATGTCTTGGTTTTTCGAGTTTTCGGTTTCTCAATGTCTCCATTTTTTGAATCCGCATTTTTCGTTTTCTCATCATTCGATTTTCGAATTTTGATTTTTCGAATTTTCACTTTTGTGATGTTCGATTTTCGACTTTTCGAGCTCTCAATTCTGGGTTATTCGGTTTTTCCATGTTTAGATTTTTCGATTTTTCGAATTCTCAATTTTTCGTTTTTTCAATTGTTTGATTTTTCGAATTTTCAATTTTTTAATTTCAATTTTTTGAGTTCTCAATTTCTGGATTTTCTATTGTTAGATTTTTCGAATTCTCAATTTTTCGTTTTTTCGATATTTCAATTTTTCGAGTTCTCGAATTCTAGTTTTCTCGATTATCCAATTTCTCAAATTTTTGGTTCTGCATTTTTTGATCTTTCAATTTCTGGATTGTCAATTTTTCGGATTCCCAATTTCTTGGTTTTTCGAGTTTTCGGTTTCTCAATGTCTCCATTTTTTGAATCCGCATTTTTCGTTTTCTCAATCATTCAATTTTCAAATTTTGATTTTTCGAATTTTTACTTTTGTGATTGTTCGATTTTCGCTTTTTCGAGTTCTCAATTCTGGATTATTCGGTTTTTCCATGTTTAGATTTTTCGATTTATCAAATTTTTCGATTTTTTGAATTCTCAATTTTTCGTTTTTTCAATTGTTTGATTTTTCAAATTTTCAATTTTTTAATTTTTCAATTTTTTGAGTTCTCAATTTCTGGATTTTCTATTTTTAGATTTTTCGAATTCTCAATTTTTCGTTTTTTCGATGTTTCAATTTTCCGAGTTTTCGATTTCTAATTTTCTCGATTTATCAATTTCTCTATTATTCAATTTCTCAAATTTTTTATTCTGTATTTTTCGCTTTCTCGATTTTTCGATTCCTTAAATTCTCAATTGTTTTGGATTTTCACCTTTTGGAGTTCTCAATTTTTCGTTTTTTAGATTTTAAAAATTTTTGCCTTCTTGATTTCTCGATTTCCCAATTTCCCAATTTTTGGTACTGCATTTTTCTACTTTTCAATTCCTCTTTTTTTTTTAATTCAATTTTTTTTATTTTTCGATTTCTCGATTTTCGAATTTTTATTTTGAATTTTCGAATTCTCATTTTTTCGATTGTTCGATGTTTAGATTTTTCAATTTTTCAAATTCTCAATTTTTCGTTTCTTCAATTGTTTCGTTTTTCGATTTTTGGAATTTTCAATTTTTTAATATTTCAATTATCTGAGTGCTCAATTTCTGGATTTTCAATTTTTAGATTTTTCGAATACTCAAGTTTTCGTTTTTTCGATATCTCGAATTCTAGTTTTCTCGATTTATCAATTTCTTGGTTACCCAATCTCTCAATATCTTAAATTTTTGGTCCTGCATTTTTCGTTTTTTCGATTTCTCGATTATTAATTTTTCGGGACTCTACATTTTTCAATTCCTCCATCTTTCGATTTTGGAATTTTGATTCTGATTTTTCGAATTTTCACGTTCTCGATTGTTCGATTTTCGATATTTTGATATTTTGGGTTCTCAATTCTCGATTTTTCGGTTTTTCGATGTTCAGATTTTTCGAAATTTCGATTTTTCTGATTTTCCATTTTTTCAGTTTTCAATTTTCCGAGCTCAATTTCTCGATTTTTAAATTTTTCAAATTTTTACTTTTTACTTTTTCGAAATCTCAATTTTTCGTTTTTTCAAAGTCCAGTTTTTCCAATCCTCGAGTTTTCTTGATTTCTCAATTTGCCGATTTCCCAGTTTCTCGAATTTTTGGTTCTGTAATTTTCGATGTTTCGAATTCTCCATTTTTTATTTTTCGATTTCTCAATTTCTCGATTTCTCATCTCTCAGTTTCTCCACTTTTTGATTATGCATTTTTCAATTTCTCGATTTTTAGAATTTTCATTTTGATTTTTCAATATTCTGAGTTTTCAATTTCTTGATTTTCGATGTGTAGATTTTTCAAATTTTTGATTTATCGAATTTTCAATTTTCCGACTTCTCAATTTTTAATGTTTCGGTTGTCATTTTCCAGTTTCGAATTCTCGAAATCTGGTTTTCTCGATTTCCCAATTTCTCAGTTTCTCAAATTGTTGGTTCTCCATTTTTGGATTTTTCGATTTCTCGATTTCTCAATTTCCCCATTTTTTGATTCTGAATTTCTGAATTTTTCGATTTTTCAAATTTTCATTTTGATCATTCGATTTTTCGAATTTTCAATTTTTTGGTTCGAATTTTCGATATTTAGATTTGTCTCTTTTGCGATTTCCCGGTATTTCGATGTTTAGATTTTTCGATTTATCGATTTTTCGAATTTCTCGATTTCTCGAATTCTCAATTTTTCGTTTCTTCAAGTATTTAATTTTTTGAATTTTCGATGTTTTGATTTTTTAATTGTCCGAGTACTTAATTTCTAAGATTTATTATTTTTATATTTTTAGAACTTATTAATTTTCAATTTTTTGCTGTCTCGAATTCTCAATTTTTCGTTTTTTTGTTTTGTTTTGATATTTCAATTTTCCAAGTCGTTGAATTCTAGTTTTCTCGATTTCCCAATTTCTCAATTTCTCAAATTTTTGGTTTTTCAATGTCCCGATTCCCAATTTTTTGTTTCTTCAATTTTTCGAATTCTCAATTTCTCGATTTCTCAAGTTCTAGATTTCTCAATTTCTCAGTTTTTTTCATTTTCAATTTCTGTATTATTTTCGATTTCTGAATTTTTCCGATTTCCATTTTAATTTGGCGATTTTTCGCATTCTCAATTTTTCGATTCGATTTCTATTTATCGATCTGCCGAATTTTCATTGTGATTTTTCGATTTTCGATATCCAGATTTTTCTTTTTTTCGAGCTTTAAATTAGTCGATTTCCCAATTTCTCCGTTTTTTGATTTTGCATTTTTCGATTTTTCTAGTTCTCAATTCTCGATTTTTCGGTTTTTCGATGTTTCGATTTTTCAAATTCTCGAATTCTAATTTTCTCGATTTACCAAATTTCCCAAATTTTTGGTTCTGCATTTTTCGAATTCTCAGTTTTTTTATTGTTCGATTTCTCATGTCTCAGTTTCTCCATTTTTAAAATTTCTTGATTTTTGGATTTTTCGAATTTTCATTTTGATTTTTCGAATTCTCGATTTTTCATTTTCTCGAAAACTCGAATTTTCGATTGTTCGGTTTTTTGATTTTTGGAATTTTCATTTTGATTCAATTTTCCGAGCTCTCAATTTCTCGATTTTTAGATTTTTCAAATTTCTGTTTTGATTTTTCCAATGTTCGATTTTTCGAATGCCCAATTTTAATTTTTTCCGGTTTTCGATGTTTCAATTTTTCGAGTTCTCGAGATCTAGTTTTCTCGATTTCCCAATTCCTCAAAATTTTGGTTCTTCAATTTCTCGATTCTTCGAATTCTCAATTTTTGTTTCTTCAATTTTTCATATTCTCAATTTCTCGATTTGTCAATTTTTCATTTTTTCGATTTTCGACTTCTGGATTTTTCGATTTTTGATACTTTGATTTTTCAAGTTCTCAATTTTCGATTTTCGTTGTTTTCGATTGTTGGATTCCTCAATTTCTCCATTTTTTTGATTCTGAGTTTTTCGATTTTTCTTTTTCACGCTACCGACTCTAAAGTTCTAAGATTACTAAAACTAGTACCACTAGTAATCTAGGAACTTTAACCGCCTCTATAATTTTCGCACTAGTACCAAATCAATTGCAGGATGCCTTAATGACCTTCGAAGAAGATAAGCTCAATTTAGCGACATCTGTCCTCAAAGAGGTTGAACGGAAGTGCACTTCAGAGAACGGGTGGTTTAAATCAATGAAGAAAGCCTTCGGTTCTAGTGATAACAGTTCACTGGCTCAAACTCTGGAAACTCAAATCATTCTAGCGGATTCCCAAGTGTGTTTAGCGATTTTAACGTTCTTACAGCAAGACATTTCGGGGTACTTTAAAGGCGGGTGGGTGTTGAGGAAGGCTTGGAAGGTGTACCAGAGCACCTACCAGGAGATACTCCAACTGTATAAAGAGATAATCGGCGACAATGACAAGCAGTTGCCAGGTACTACTATCGTATAGAATGTCAACTAGGTTTAAAGTTTGTTTTGTAGAGGCGGTTATGGAAACCACGAGCACCACCCCTGTTAGTACTCCCGGTAGTGTTGAAAGCAGCCCCCCGAGCTCCGAAGCGACGAAATCCGAACCCGATCCACCCCCCAACGGGTATATTAAAAAAATCCCTTACTCCCATTCCGCCATCTTGTCCCATCACACCCACTCCCAACACGACTCTTCCGGAGCTTCCACTCCCAACTCCATGAAAAACAACTGCAGCAGAAGTAGCATAGACGCTTCTGCGATGACGTTTCTAAAGAAGTCGTTTTCGGTCAACAGCGCCTTATCCAAACACGTTCACAAAACGGACTGGAGTTCTTTCACCAGTTCGCTATCACTAGCCTACCTCACTTCCACTTTTCATCTATTCTCACCTACAGAAAAACTGTGAGTACCGGAAAAGCGCTAGTACCACAATGTAAACCTGGAACTTGTAGGAAAGGAGCCCAGATTGATAAACCTACGATTGAAAGATTGATGGGAGCGGTGTCCTTTGGGTATGGTCTATTCCAGTTAGGTATATCATTACTGCCACCATCTCTGCTAAAACTCACCAATTTTTTGGGTTTTGGCGGGAACAGACAAAACGGTGTTTCGTGTTTGATGTATGCCAGAGAAGGGGTGGACATGAGGGCGCCTCTAGCCACGTCTGTACACACGTGTGGTAGTACCAAATCTCACCCGTTTATTCTAGGTTGTCGCTGTTGTGGTACCACACGATAGTGAGGCCTTTTTATGCTCTGGATGGGAGTAACGTCCAGGCGGGGGCTAACGCAGCCACGCAGCTACTACAAGAATCAGAGACGGAATATGGACTCTCAGCTCTATTTCTTTTCTTTAAAGGAAGAGTCAACAGACTGAGCGTGAGTACCACGACAATTATTATCAATGTGTTACTAATAGTGATTGGTTGCAGTCCGACATACCAAATGCTCTTAAATCGTTCCAATCGTCCGTTGACCACGCCGCTCAAAGAGAAATTAAGATCCTAGCGATGCACGAAGTCGGCTGGTGCCACCTAATCCAACTCGACTACTGCAGCGCAGAAAGTACCTTCACCTACCTCAAGTCCTGGAGCAGATGGAGCCGAGCCTTCTACAGCTACCTAGCGGCCATATGCTGCGGTTCCTGTCAAAACCTCACCAACTTAACCACCATTAAAGAAATCAAAAACACGACTCCAACCAACAGAGGCAATCAGCTCGATGAATTTTTAGCCCGAAGAGCTAAATGTTGTCCGTCCAACGATGACGATCTCTCCAAGTTACCATCCATTTTCTGGAAACTGCTCCTCTACGAAATGCTGTATCTCTGGAACGCGTTACCAAGTTGTTCAGCCCAAAACATAGAAAATATCAAACTAGGTCCGTTTGGGTTTTGTTAAAGTGAGGTTAAAACGGTTTTTTGCAGACTGCGAAGCAGTTCCGACTAGTGGAAACGAGCCGATGTTGGGTCTGTCGAAACTGATTCTAGGTTGTTGCTACTGCATCCAGAGGCAGTACCCTAAGGGGATCGAAAACTTTAAGTTGTGTCTAGAGCTGAGGAAGGATTTGCCCAGTAATGCCGTCGATGCTCACATTTCAGCTTTTTCGCACTACGAGCTAGGAGCTTTGATGATCAAAACAAACGAAGTAGGTGAGTTGGTGGGTTTGATTGTAACTAATTTTGGGTTTTAGACCAAAGCCGAGGGTAAAACGCTTCTACAGAATATTTCTTGTTACAAGGATTATGATTTCGAGCAGAGGCTCAATATAAGAGTCCACTCAATGCTGAAGCACTTGTAGACCAAAGTTAGACAATATTTACGAAGTTAACGAAATGTAACATAGAGCTATTTGCAATATTTAAAAATAATTTTATACCATCAGTGTTTTCTTACTAAATTATCTAGTGCACTTAATAACTAATAGTAAATGTAAGCTAACTCTACGTTTTGTTTTTTGGAATTGACTCACACTGTAGAGTGGACATGAGTATACTTCTATCAGTATACGCACAGTCAATACAGAAAACAAAAAACAGTACTCAGTTTTAACTGAAGTTGTATCTGTATGCTCGGAGCTGAGGTTAACCTGCAAGTTTTGCGAAAATATATACAGCTATATGAGCTAAGTAAACCACAGAAGACCTGTTCATATACAATAACAGTGCATTCTAAACATATTTTTTGTCTACTTCTTTCACAAAGATAGATTAGTTATATATTTTTGGTACTTTACTTAGTACAAATTTAGCTCATGGAGGTTTGTATGATTTCAAAGAGCTAGAGCAGACAACGACCCTAAGTATCTTAGAAGGGTCGTTGAAATGTGTTACGTATTTGATATTTTATTATCATTATTATTGTTGTATTTTAATATTTTGATGTCCGTCCAAATTTGCACATTTTGAATTTATTTGTTAGAGAAATTTATTTGTATGTTATGTGTAATTGAAGTTATTATAATTCGAATGATAAAATAAATGTTACGACAAAACCGTTTTTGAGTCTTTTTGGTTTGCTAGGGTAAAATCTTCATCAATTTGATCCACTACCATTTCCATAGACATGTTAGAAAACCGTTTTTATTAAATGGAATGGTTTTTTGTTTTTTGTGTTTTTTTTTTTGTTAACAGTTTCAAGTAAATTAAAAAGTGGAAGCTTTGAGTTGATTACTACAAAAATTTACCATTTTAGACATGTTATAAGTTTTTTGTTGTCGAAATAAGTCTACACATATTTAGAAAAAAGGGAAAATATAAGCCCCGCCCACCCACCCTATCTCAATTGTGATGATTTTTTTTATGCATATTTGTCATCAAGAATTCACCATTTTAAATAGGTTTTACGTTTTCTGTTCTGAAAAGACGACTACGTATATTGTCACGACCGGGTCGGGGGAGAGATTGGTAGAGCTAAGGATAATTACCCGATCCGACGTTAAGAATAAAAATCCCAAATACATTAAATAAACTAAATATATTTCAACTTACATTACAAATTCCATCCTTAGGGGGTACGGTGCGTCACTTCACTTCTCTCACTTTTTTCCTTCCCCTGTCCCTAGTTAGTACCGACTGCCCCTTTCGTCAGTCCGCACTCCCCCCACCTAAGCTTCCGTAATGCCAGCAAAAAGAGGTTTTTGCTGACATCCCACAAGCATGGCATGAGGCAATCTTTACATAACTAGGGCAACTAGCAGTTTCGTGACAATATTAAGATAAAAGTCAAACAATAAGCCCCGCCCACCTACCCTATTCCAATTGTGATAATTTTTTTTAATCGTCGAGAGCAAAAGAAGCAGAAATTAATTGCAAAACTCGTATTGTTTTTCTAGAAGAAATTACCATATAAAACATGTTTTTCAGTATCGTGTTTCAAAGAATATTATGTATATTAAGAAAAAATTAAAGCCAAAAATTAAGCCCGACCCACAACTGCCCCCCCTCTCAATTCCCAATTGTGATGAATTTTTCATTCGTTGTCAGATCGAGGGGCGGGGCTTAATTGCAAGATTCATATTTGTCATCAAGAATTTACCATTTTAAACATGTTTTAAGTTTCTTGTTCTGAAAAGCCGACTACGTATATTAAGAAAAAAGGCACACTATAAGCCCCGCCCACCCACCCTATTTCAATTGTGATGTTTTTTTTTTATTCGCCGTAAACCAAGACAAGAGTGATTTTGGCAAATAAGGTAGCCTCTAAGAAAAGAGAGGGTGGGTGGGCGGGGCTAATACTTGCTAAGATAAGAGTGATTTATATACCTCCCCTGATCTAAATAGTAATGAAGTTTTCATTCGTTGCAGACCTACGGGCGGAGCCTAATTGCAAAATCCATATTTCCTTCCAAAAAATTACCATTTTAAACGTGTTTTAAGTTTTTAAGGATAAAAAAATCATCACATTTGAGATGGGGTGGGTGGGCGGTGTTAATAGTTTGCCTTTTTTTCTTAATATACATAGTACTCTTTGAACAACACGATACTCAAGAGCATGTTTTTAATTTCTTGTAAAGAAATAAGTGTTCTGCAGTTAAGCTCCTTAGAGGGTTTCTCATTTGCCAAAATCATTCTTGTCGTAACAGGTAGTAGCCCCGCCCACCCACCCTATCTTTTCTCAGAGGGTATCTCATTTGCCAAAATCACTCTTATCTTAGTAAGTATTAGCCTCGCCCACCCACCCTCTCTTTTCTTAGAAGGTATCTCATTTGCCAAAATCACTCTTGTCTTGGTTCACGGCGAATAAAAGAAATCATCACAATTGCGATAGGGCGGGTGGGCGGGCTTACATTTTGCCTTTTGTTTTAATATGTGTAGACTTCTTTTCATAACATGAAACTTAAGCTATGGTTAAAATGGTACATTTTGGCAAGGAAATATGGATTATTATTTATTAGTTACTACATATGTTACATTTAGTATTATTATTATATATTATTATATATTATGGATCGAAGTTCAACCACTTGACAAAATAAAATTCAATCTTCATCTCACAGTAATTAAAATTAGCCAATGAAAGTGAAATGTGAAGGTGGGTGGAATTAGTTTTACATTTTTTATTTAGATTCCACTATTTATCAACACAAATTCTATTTTTCATCCAATAAAATGAGTGATCAAGAGGAAAACGGGAAGGGTGGGATGGGGTAGGGGGAGGGGCACTTTGAAGTTTTTTTCGACCACTTAACAAAATAAAATTCAATCTTCGTCTCACAGAAACTAAAATAGGCCAATGAAATTCCAAATTGGAGGTGGGTGGGATTAAGTTTACCTTTTTTATTCAGATTCTACAATGTATCAATATAAAATCCACTTTTCGTCCAATAAAATGAGTGATCGAGAAGAAAACCGGGTGGGTGGGAGGGGCCACTTTGAAGTTTTTTTAAGTATTTCGACCCCTTGACAAAATAAAATTCAGTTAAGCCAATGAAATTCAAAGGTGGAGGTGGGTGGAATTAGTTTTACCTTTGTTGATTAGATTCTGCTATTTATTAATATAAAAAATCTACTTTTCGTCCAATAAAATGAGTGATCGAGGATATTTGTTATTTAATAGAGTCATAGTTTCCACGGTTAGTTTCCTTAAAAATTTCAAAAATTTTTAAATTCGCTGTTGTGTCATTTTTTCCATTATTTGTTTATTTATTTATTTGTATTTGTTTAACTACATATTAAATAATGCAAATTGTTGCTCTGTGTACTGAATTATGTGAAAAAGGTACTTCAAAAAAATAATTAAAAAAATGTTTTAAAACAAAAAAAAGATATACCTGTCTTAAAGCAATTAAAACACACTGCTTTTTTATTTACTAACATCTTTAATTTTAACATGTTTCAAATAATCTTAAAATATTTCCATGATTTCACAGCATTCCGTTTTTGTAATTTTTAAGTTAAATTGTAAAATATGGTTATACAGTGTTAATTTTTTCAAAAAATTTGGTTGCTAAGAGTAAAAAATGTAACTTTATAAAATTTAACAGTTTTGCCCAAAATTCTAACAAGATATTAACGTTGTCATTAATTAACAATAGTAAGAGGAGGCAGACTATAAGCCCCGCCCACCCACCCTATCTCAATTCCGATAATTTTTTTGTTCGTTGTCAGACCGAGGGGTAACTGCACAAATTATATTTCCCTAAACAAATTTACCATTTTAACCATGTTCTAAGTTTCTTGTTGTAAAAAGATGACTATGCATATTAAGAAAAAACAAAGGCAAACTATAAAAGACCACTCAACCGGCAACATAGTACGAAAACTCAACTGGCAACATTGTCTGGGGAGACTTTTGTGGCTAGATGTGGTGCCAAAATCCCTGAGGTTAGGATGATCATGGTTTTCATTCAAAACATGTTGTTTTTATTTATTTTATTTTGACATTTTTCTCATAAAATTTCAAATTTGAAGTTTTGTGTACTACCAACTTATCAGTGTAAAAATAAGCCCTATATGAGTTTTATTTGGTACCAACTTAATTCAACAGTAGGTGCTTGTGTGCCACATTTTCCCCAAACTTGAAAAAATGACACCGTTGACCAACCAGCTCCCAGTTATCTAACTTCGCAACAAATATTACGATTTTTCTAATTTTAGCGGATGATGTTTTCGTCTAGAGGCATGAACTTAGCGTAATCTGAGTCAGCGATAAATAAAAAAGCCAATCTATACTTCCTCAATTTATTTTCTATTTTTTAATCATAATCGCTAACTGTCGTTTTGCACTTCAACTTTCGAGCCAACAAGGGCACTTTTTTCGGAAAATAAACTCGAAAAGTGGCCAATTATTTCCATTTTTAAATCACGCGAAATAACAAAACATTAAGACGCAAGATAATAAGAACATTAAATTTAGTAATCAAGTGTAGTATTTAACCTCCCGACTCCCAGGCCCCCAGCAAAGAAGATAAGAATATCTTGTTTTCACACCAAACTATTACAAACGTTTTTTATGATAACATTTTCGAAACAGTTCAATAGGTCACGTGACTATTTCGTACCTACATATAAATTATTACCCTTAGCCAATCATTGTACTTGATCCCATTGTGAACTTCGAAGTGGTGTGCTCCATAGTTCTTTGTGTGATTTTATTTCAATTCGGTAGACAAAAATGGCCGATTATAGACAAGTAAGTCCTTTTTTACTATATATCTATAATTCTGATTTATGTCTAGCCTTTCTAATTAAATCTAGTCAACTGAAATAACTCTTTTTAGCCAAGAGATTAAGAATGATGTCAATGTTAAGCAGTTGCTAATTAAATATCCGCATTTATTTTGTTTTTCACAGTTATTTGTTCACCCATTATCACAAAAGTGCGACAAATACAAAATTTTCCATAAGTTGTGTTTACTCCTACACGTTTCTAAATTGTGGCAAAATCCCTGTCTATTTTTAGTGAAATTTCTCCGAAAAGTCACACCATCGATATTTTTTTGTCGTCGCATTTTACGTAACGACTCAATCCAAGCAGCAACAACGTTCGTAAATGTAGAAATTTTCTGTTTGCTTAAACTTTAACCCCCGAAAGAGATAACAGACCCCCTGTAGCATTAACACTGACATTTGACTTGCGATAAACATGTGACTTTTACGTGAATGAAATTAAGAACAAGGAAATTTTATAAATAAAAAAGTGGTAAAGGCTGCTTGTTTTGCAAACAGTGGAGGCGTGAAGGCCTCACCCCGAAACTATTTTGGCGCTTTTTAAACCGCCAAAAACGAACAAAATGGTCAAAAATTATCACTTACTAATTATGAAACATGAATAAACGTAAATATCTGTTTCAGACGCTTGCAATAAACAAGTGTGTCGCAATTGATACGTTCGAGAATTTTTGGTTGACGAAATCTATATTATATTTTTCAAAATTTACCCCTTTATGACTAGCGAGATTTCGGGCTAATGGAACACCTTTTATGCATTTTCGCACCAGTGCACTGACATGCCTGTCGCACTCCTAACCTTGAAACACTATATCTAGGGTCATAATTTTTAATGCAATTGATGCAAATCTAAAGATTTTGCATGCGAAAGTGCACCATTATCGCATTATTTACGTTCGGAGAATTGATAACACATACCCAAAGGTCGTGTCATTGTCACCTGACTTCCTTACATAAACATAACCTTAAATAATCGTGACACCTATTAATGATCAGATAAGTCAAAAATTTGTGAAATTAACCCCTACAGCTATTTACACCCGAAAATGATAAGCAATGCAAACGGAAGACCTCAATGAGAACATTAATGTTATTTTCCAGCCGCCGGGGGGTCACGTTTTGCCCCCCAAAGGCACACAAACATTTTTACAAGATGTAAGTATAGCGATAACCAAATAGGTCGCAGTGCCGGAAAAAATTGATAAGTAGTCTTAAGTTCACTGGGGGTCTTGTTTTGACCTTATCGAGTGAGTATAAATAGGGACTTGGAGCAATGACAGTCAGTCTTCACTGTGCTTCCGTCACGTTTCGATCCTTCCGAAGTTTCGGTTTTTTTTTAACACGGAGTAGTGAATAAAGCTTGCCCCAAACGACAGGCTTTACAATTATATATATATTTTTTATTTATAATTGTCGTTTTCTTCGGTTGTTCATAAGTTTATATAAATGCAGCTAACAAGTATCTTCATGAAAATGACCATTGCCGATAAATTCCGTGTTAACCCCATCTATTATTCCGACTACTCTGATACGACCGTCGAAATCTAGGGAACCAGGAGTCCCTTCTTCAGAATACGAGAGTAGTATTTCAAACCTCTGAATTTGTCTGATTTCTTTGAAAGCGTGACTAATATTAGAGGCAATTTCGACTTGAAGACTAGTTATCAGTACCTTATCCAAAAATGGATATCGTTAGCAGTGTAAGTTAATATTTAATTAATACAATTGTTTACATGTATGTACTTACCCATAGATAGTGGTACTAAAATAGATTTTCTTACAGTATCCTATGGTAAAAGCTTTCCTGGCTGGGTCCTTCTCAGGAACCTTCTCCACGATTTTGTTTCAACCCTTAGACTTGGTGAAAACCCGTCTGCAGAACCCCACTACCCTATTGTAAGTTTACACTGATGGATTTTTAATTCGTGGAAAAACGGCACTCAAGGTCACAGTTTACATAAACAACATAATAATTACGGTCGGTAGTTATGCTGTGCTTAACAGACAGGTGACTCTTGGTCACTTAAGCAAAAATGTCTGAAATTATTGCCAAGTCTATTACACCTTTGCGCACAATATATTAACTTTCACACTGACTAATAAATATTGAATGTTATGTGTTTGTTTACCCCCACTATGCACTGTCATTACAAGTTTCTTAATGACTAAATAAGTGACTGATACGATGTATACAGGGTGGTATTCATAGTTTTTCGGTTTCGTGACCTTAGAAAGCATGAATGATACGAAGGAGGTTAGAATTGTCTAATACAAATCTATGTAACACAAAAACCCTTTTTTGCAGAAGCCACAATGGCGGCACGCGGATGGTCACCATCTTCGCCACCATCCTCCAGCAGGAGCATCTGCGCGGCCTCTGGCGGGGAATGACACCGGTAGGTCCCCTATTAATAGCTCCTAATCGCTCTTTATCATGTTGACCGAGCCTTTTCGATAACGTTTTTTCCTTCCAGTCTATAACCCGCTGCGTCCCCGGCGTTGGCCTCTACTTCTGCTCCCTCGATTATCTAAAAACGCAATTTTTTGCGGACACGACTCCAAGTCCGCTCGAGTCAGTCGCTCTGGGCATGATCTCCCGCTGCATGAGCGGAGTGGCCTTGATCCCCATCACCGTGGTGAAGACCCGCTTCGAGAGCGGCGTCTACGGCTACAGCGGGGTGACCTCCGCTCTGCGGGAGATCTACCGGACCGAGGGACTGCGCGGCATGACCTGCGGCCTGATCCCGACGCTGTTCCGGGACGCGCCCTTCTCAGGACTCTACTTGATGTTCTACACGCAGGCCAAGCTGCTGGTGCCCCGGGAGGTGTTCGACTCGTCGTTGGCGTCGCCGGTGCACTTTTCGTGCGGGATAACGGCGGGCATTTTGGCTTCGGTCGTCACCCAGCCGGCTGACGTCCTGAAGACCAAAATGCAGCTGTATCCGAATAAGTTCAACGGGTTGTGGTCGGTCGTGGTGTACGTGCATGGGAAGTACGGGGTCAAGGGGTACTTCAAGGGGATGGTTCCGAGGATGCTGAGGAGGACTTTGATGGCCGCTATGGCCTGGACGGTCTATGAGCGGCTGTCGAAGTCGATAGGGTTAAAGTAGCGCAGTGGTACTTTGAATTGGGTGTGGTAGCCTGATTTGAAGAGTTTATACATATCATGGGTATCTTTGGTGCCTGGGGAGATGCGTTACAGGGAGTAGGTGATAAGATTATTGGGTTTATGTTTATCATGCCTCGTTTTTATGTATACTGCACTACTTGTAACCGATTATTTACTATTTTTATTGGATGTATGACTTTTACTACTGGATAAACGATATTGTATTTTTGGATCACAAAAATTTACAGTATTATTTTTGTGATTCTGTTGTATGTTATTAGTGGTTGTATATTTTGTTAAATAAATTTTATTGTTGATTATGACCGGCGTTCTCTGTGCGACCTTGGTGTATCGCATTTTTATTTATGTTTATCAACAGACAATCTTCTTATTTTTAACTGTTATCTGTAGTTTTCGCAACAACCAATCAAATGATCACTGAAGAACTAGCCACCGGGTACTAGTTGTGACCGGAAAAACTGTGGACCAATAGCAGGCAGTGTTTTCTCAGCTTACTTACTTACCGTTTAACGAGTACGTAATGAAAAAAACTGATCTGACAATGTTCATGCACAAATCTAAGCATTTACGAAGTCATCAAAACCACACAAATACAATTGTTATTACATTTTTCCAAAATCATGTGTTCTTTCTGTTACATTTTGTACCATTTATACCATGAATACCATTCTATCTCCACGATACAGTGTATTTCCTCTCAAATATTCAAAACGCAACGAGCAATACAATTATGAAATGGTCTGTTAAAGGTTATTTTACTATTATTTTTTTTAAGTAAAATAGCTATTTGCTTTTGACAGTTTGGTAACAAACATCAGTTTTTAGGTTAAAAGCATAAATAAACAAATACAAAAAGCTCCTCAGGGTGTATCATACTCTCATACTTATAGCAATATTCTATATCCCTTCGTTGCAAGGGTAACTCACTTGTTAGGTACATGGATTCACGGATGAGGCCTGTCAGGACCATTTTATTTTTACTATTGTGATGACCGAATTTAAATCAAAATTTTCGCGCTGAAATTAATTAACAGTGGCGCGAAATCACATTTGAATAATTTGAATTTGAAAGAAGGAATTCAATCAAAAAAATCGTTAAACATAGGCAACCAAATATGCACGTAGTGAAAGCAGCATGTCGAAAGCGCGAGTCATTATCGTTCTGTTGGGTGTAGCAGTTGGTGAAAAGACGCTGTCAGTAGCTAAGTTTAAATTAGTTGGTTTGGTAGTTAATAAAAGGGAGGAAGCCTTTGTTTAACGACAATCAATCGTAATTTCTATGACGACACAGTTTTCCCCAAACCGCGCGGCTGATTCTTGTGGGTTTTAATAAAAAAAAAACATGCGACCTTTCAACGCAGAACACGTGCTGTAAATTTGTTTTATTGTTTGTAAATTCAGCAACCAAGTTATTTTTTCTTAATCGTCAGGTAGTGCAAACACAATTTAACACTCAGGATTCTTTAAATAAACCACTTGTTAGAAGATTTCATGAAATTCACTTAGTCAGGAAAACACCTTTGTTGTTTAATTACGACTAGGTTTCTGGATGCATATACGTAAGTATTACATTATAACACTTCTTAATTCTTCATACAAGATTGCTAATAGTTCATTTACAGCAGTTAAACAAAATTCATTATACTGCAAACTGGCGAGGGGTTAAAATAATTCCCTCCCTTAGGCGGTTATCATCATTATTACCGTCGTTATCATGATTACATCATCGGGGCTTGTCCTCACAACACTACAAATTGATTACTTCATCGAGGCATGTCCTCAAAACGCTACAGATTGATTGCTTCATCTAGGCATGTCCTCGCAACGCTAGAGATTGATAACATCAACGAGGCTAAAATAAAATAACACCATCGAAGTAGTTTCTTGCAACGATAAAAATTTACATCACCGAGACGTTTTTTCCTCGCAACGATGACTGAATATTTTTGTGTTTGTTTATTATGTGTTTTGTTGGGGTAACCAGTTCGCGGTATTCTAAACCCTCAAAGTAAATTGCTTTTTTTTAAGTAACCAATCACTTAGATCATGACATAATTTAACACAATGTACACTCTTTGTTTGTATCGTTGATAAAGTGTGGCAAATATTAATCTCATGTAAATTTTGTTAACTTTGCAAACTTTCACCTCTTACAATATTTCTCTAATCTCACAATTTTAACCTCAGTAATTTTCCTTTGTTGTAACTATAATTTTCAATTGAACGTAAATTTCATTCACTGCAGTTTTAACCTCCCATAATAATTTCTATTTGGACAAGTTGATTTCACGCCAGATCTTTTGTTTCATAAATCTTTGCTAAGTTTTGTTTTGTAAATATTTTGTTGATGAATGTTTCCACCGTATAAATTATCTGATGTTCAATTTTTATCTCACATAAGAATTATTTGTTGTTTAAAATTTCACAAGATTGTATGACGCATTTAAATGTTATTTATTGCTCTTTGAAACTTTAACATTTGCTCAGTTGTTGGTAATATCAGAGTCATAAGAAATTGAACCTTTAAAAATGGAACTGAGGTTAAATAACACTGACACACGTAGCAGAAGCGCAGGGCGCGGCTCCCAGTGGTGGCTATCGAGATTTGTCATTGCTTTGTATAGAGTCAGTGGGAACGGTCTGGACGACGTGAAGCTGTCAACTTATTTATAGCACTTGACATTCCAACCAACAGTTTTCGACCGAAACGGCCTGGGCTGCGCGGTATGTTTCTTCGTTAGATAGAGGGATGCTGAGCGGTAGGCTTGCCAATAGATAGAAACACCGTGGAGGGGGAGACCAGCCCGAACCGGGGGCCCCAAACTCCGCTTATGCTAGAACGCCCCAGGTTGTGCTCCTGTTAACTGCCGTAACCTTAACATTTGACGCCACACGCCCGTAATAACTTGTGTATTTGCATTCAGTTACTTTAATTCAGATTTTGCCTTGTTTTTATTAAACTTGTGATATTCAAATATTTGCAGTGATTCCAAACAGATGTGCAGGATTTTGTGTTTGTTCGTTTATCATATGTGTATATCTTTCAATTCGCGAGTGTCTTTTCTTTCATATTTTTAAGTGTTTGAAATGTAATATGTCTCTGAATATAGCCCTAGAGGGTTTTTGGAGATGAGGAACGATGGCGACTTGGCCTTGTTGGGCCGCCAGAAGGGCACGTCCAAGTCACTTCGCTTCTTTTCCTCCTAAGGAAGGGTGCCATTTCAGCTCCTCCCAAATTTTTGTCCGTTATTTTTTGCGCTCTCGACTCACACGCAGTGTATGCTCGTTAGCATGACAGAACGTCGTCCCGCCACTTTTCAAAAAAAAAAACACAACGTAGGTTCCCTTTTCGTTAAACGATCACAGCCAAGGCCAAATTTTGAATTTTTGAATTTTTCGCGAGCCTTTCAAACTTTTTTCCAGGTCAATTTAAAGGCGGGAAGCTTGAGTTATCACACTATGTTTTGGTAATTTTTGCAAATTTTCCGAAAATTGTCATATATAAACTAATCTTGATCTTTAAATAGCACTGTCCTCTTGCTAAAAATTGAAAAAAAAAATTACATCCCGTTTACAGGATCAACATATTTTTTAACTGTCAGTCGTACGGACAAAAATACAGTTTTTACTTGTTAGTGAACAGGTAGCCGGAAAGTGCCTCGATAAATATTCAGTAGTTAAGTCTATTTTTGAGAATAACCGGTTATTTAACAATAAAGCTGCGCCTAAGATAGGCAACCCACAATACGATCTAAGTATTAAATTACGCGCTCACTGCACCACGAAATGGCGGCTTGAAATGTTATTCCTGTTCGTCAAAATCTTAGATTAGGAACATATACAATAATAGTGGGGGTATTCTCTGATTAAGAAAGAGTATTGTGGTGTCCAAATTAGAATAAAATTTCGCATTAGAAAAAAGAAAGTTGTTAAACATAGACAACCATCTGCAAGTTCAGTCCGTTTGTCTGGTAGTTGGTATCTCCTCTAGGGTAGTAATCTGGTGAGAGGGTTGGCAGTGAAGTTGACTTGCTTGGTAGAGGACTAAGATGCGTCACGGTTTTTTTGTTTGGTGTGAGTGAAATCACGCGGTAAGGTAGCTAGATTAAGTTCAGTTGGTTTGGTAGTTAGAAAAAAGAAGAGCCTTTGTTTAACGAAAATAAATCGTATCGATGGCGACGCCACAGTTTCCCCCAAAAGCTTAATTAATTCTTGCTGTTTTTCTAATCCGAAATATGTGAAGTTTCGACCGATGCTAACACATAGTGTAAATTTGGTTTATTGTCTGTACATTCACAGTTTATGTTAAGATTTTAATCGTTACTGCTTCTAACATAATGTAACAGTCATGAGATTGTTCAGATAAAGCACTTGCTAGAAGATTTCATGAAATTCGCTTATTTCTTTTGTTTATCAAGTTATAAATAAGCTTTCTAGATACTTATACTTAAGTGTTACATTATAAATTATAACACTTCTTAATTACTCATACAAAATTGCTAATAGTTCATGTACGGCAGTTAAATTAACTTAACGTTGTTTCACTTTGGGTAAAAGGACCATGGAAAGTGTGGTAGAATTCATAAAATCGTGGACTGAGGGACGGGGGAGATTTTTTTTTTTTTCTTAGGTAGTTATCATCAAGACATTACCGAGACGTATTTCTCGCGACGAGGGATGTATTTTTTGTTTATTTATCATGTGTTTGTTTGGGATAAACTGGGGCCAGTCCACGATACCACGATATAAAGTCTCAAAGCTAATTTTTAAGTAATCAGTCGCTTGGATCATGGTATAATTTAACATCATGTAAATTCTTTGCTTGAATCATTGATAAAGTGTGGCATAATTTAACATCGTGTAAATTCTTTGTTTGAATAGTTGACCAAGTGTACCATAATTTAGTTTTGTTCGATTTTCTCCCTTGCAATTATAATACTCTGTTTCCACTTAATATCGCCGAAATCCAGGAAATTTAAAGTCTAACCTTAATAAACGCGGGGGTTGCATGGGACGCACACGGGGTGGTGGGGTCGACTTTGCGTGAAGGTTTACCCGTAATCCCAGATTTCTTCTGCCGTAGACTAGGTGTTTACCCAGCTACCTTATTTGCGATGGGAGTATTTTAAGAAATACTATATGGACAACTACGTTTCAAAAAACAAAGCAGGCTATTCGTCAAATCATAGGCGATTATCTTATTTATTTTCATGTCTATGAAACACCCGATTCATGTGGACGTTATGTCGCAGAGTTGTTGATTAGAATAATTGTGACCAGTGAAAAATGTGGCACCTCATATTTTATTAGCACGAAAGCTTCGGAAAAGACAAATAATAATACCATTTCAAGGTTTATATGTCCCGTATGAACGAAGAAAAAATCAGTCAGAATTTTAAATAATTTAATTTCAATAAATTACAAAAACGATTTGGTTTAAACGTTACACTGTTGCAAATAATATTACAGATTTGAAAATAAACTTACAATCACAAAATCGTTAAACCTACAAGTGTACGATAAATGAAGCAGTATAAAATCTCTTTTTATGTACATTTGTTATTTACATCCGTTAATAACTTTGAATAAAATAACATCTTAAAAGTATTTACATATAGTACATATCACAGAATCGCATAGAAACTGGCCCGACATGACTTCGTTTTGGCACTTAATAATGCTGTCTTAATTACATATCAGTACCTTTTGAACTTTTAAACAAGAAAAATAAGGCCACATCTGTTACTTATCCGTCTAAATCCAGTCGCTTGCATAATTTGCTTAACGATCCGAGTTTCTTTGTAAACGGTCTATAAATACAGACTGCTAATTGTTAAACGCGACAGAAATAGCGAGATGGCACAATACATAGTCATAATAATTCTTTGGTACAATATTTGGCCTTTTTGTCAACAATCAGAAACTAAACTCATTGAAACTGAGATCAAAATTTGTCAAATTTTTGGTAACAGCTCTAGGTATCAAACAAATTTCAACAACAAAAGCACCGCTAAAAGTAGGGTAGTGACCCTCAAACCAGCAGCCGAACTCACATGAACGACACTAGCCAGAGTCAAAGAACTCAAACTCAACTCGCTGACTATCCTCGGACTTTGCATGTTTATCAAACTCGCGATTTTCTCGGCCTCCCGGACGCACGCCTCGAGCTGCAAACCCGACGGGTTCTTCTCGGTCGTCTGCACGGCGATAAAAACGTCCATCTCTACGGTCAAGTAGCCCCGAAGGACGCACCGGGCCACATGAATCTGCCTATCCAGGGCCTTCAACATGGCCTTCAGCGTCAGCGACTCAGTATCGGAGTTCTTCAAGGCGTACAGCGCCCGGTGGATCTGGTTCTTGGAGTAGAGCAGTCTCAAGGCGCCGCCGCAGATGGGGCAACAAGCTCCCGGGGGCGTGATCCCCAAGCAGTGCGGATCGGGTAAAGGGGCACACTTGACGTCGGGGCACTGCTCGCTCTTGGTATCCCCGATCAGCCCGACCATCCGGCACCGGCCCATGTAGTCCACAGAAACCATATCCGCCCAAGCCGCGCACTCGGAGATGTAGGTACGACCGTTGATGCCGCAAACCACCCCATCGTGGCGGCAGTTTTTCAAACACGGCCCGTGGTAGGCGAGGCGAGCGTTGTGGTGGGCTAGCATGCAGGAGTTTTCGTACTCGGAGTTGTTCATGCTGCAAACGGGCGACTTTGGCAGGCTGTGGCAGTTGGTGGTACCGTTCACTGGAAAAGTGGTTTGGTGGAAGGGCGGCTCGATAATGGAGTGGAGGTACTTACCGCACTCGTACTGTTTGCAGTCTTTGTGGTGTTCCATTAAGAATAAGCAGATTTGGGGTCGAGGAACGCATTTATGACCAATTGGACAGTTATGGGAACGGCAGGGGTCTTCGCAGGGGGCTGGTTCGATATCGGAATCGCTTAAGCCAGCACACCTGAAACAAATCGTGGTCGTGAGTGACTTTGTTTATGTGGCGGGTAATGGGACGGCAAACTTATTACAGACTTTCAGGTACTGACACGAATTATAATAGTGAAATTTTAACAGTGGTTTAGTTACTTACTTTGCTAAACACGCCGACGGGTAGTTGTTCCCATCTTTCCCACACACCGGGACGTAGTGAGGCAAACAATTGCAAGGCAACGACGTATAAGCGGTATTTTCTCCAGTAAGAGCGTTACTTTCGCACTGCCTCTTACTACAAATCACTTCACCAGCGAAACAACTGCACGTCTTACAGTCCATTTCGAACGAAGTCCCATGCAGCGGATGGTACTGTGTACCCAACAGACACGGAGTCAAAGATACACATAACAACGGCTGACACTCCTCGATCTTTCCCTTATTACACTTACAAATCTTCAAGCAACCTTTCGGTTTATTGTTGCTGTGGATGGGAATGCGGACGTAAGTACCATCCGGTACCATGTACTCACTAACTTCACCCAGTTTACACCCCGGGACACACGTATACGGTAAACAGTTGCCACCAAGGATGCAGTTCTTGTTTAGTAGACAAATCTCGTGGGACTTGCACGGGTTACCCTTGCACGGTGAGAAAACTTGGTCGTTGATTCGTTGGTAACCGTGTTCAGAAGGATGCAGAAATTTCTGAAGACTTATACAAGACACAGTCGGGTCTTCCGGAGACAAACCAGCACAGATGGTTTCAGCTGAATGTTCGGGCGTTATTCTGGTCCAGTCCACACACTTGGAAAGAATATCCAGACAGACGTCTCGACAAATTTGATTAGCGTGGGAGTGTCGGGAACATGGTTTGATCTGAAGGGTGCAAGCGACTGTCTTCCAGACGTTTGGAGAACACTGGGAGATGTTCTTCAACGGGAGAATTAACCCCGGTAGGGTCAATTTGTTCTGGAATTGCCACACAGCGACATCGTTACGGGCCGCCTCATCCGCTTCCGAGTTACAAGAACGGAAAAGTTCAGTGGGTCTGTTGTTGAAGTTGGTACAAAAGCTGAGACCATCGCAACCAAGTTCGCAAGGTTCATCCACTAGAAACATGACTGGCCTTAGTAAAGATTGACTTAGGTATGTGTAGGAACTTACCTTCATCTATGCAATTCCTCAAGTTCTCCTCAGCAACCTGAGTGAGACACTTATTGTGGAACTCATCCCAAGACGTCGACCAAAACTTCGTGAACGTCTTGGTACACAATTTCTGGCACGAATGACTGGACGCCTTCTGGCAACACATCCACTTAGCCGAATCCATTCCAACTCTTTCAATCCGCGACACTTCAACCGAAGTGGTCGCAGTTTCCGCAGGTTTGAAAAAACACGACCAGAAGTACTCCTGCGGTAGCGGCAGCCCACAGCCGCCCATCTGCAACCCATCTATGGTCTCCTGAAGGGTAATGTTCTTCGTAGACAGCAGTTTCTTACACGCTTCGCGGCACTTGCTGTGGTTGGACATATCGCAGCAATGCATTTCTGTGAACACCTCGTTAGAACAACCCAAGCGCATCCCGAGTACTTACTTTTGTGTAAATTCTTCGCTGGTGTCACTTTAATGAAGTCCTTGACACACTCCATCACTTTGGGGCTGTTTTTCTCGCACGTTTCTTGTACTTTTAGTCTGAGGGAGGAGCTCGGGGTCCAGCGGCTGCGGAAGATTTCGCGGCAAACTCTGTGGCAGTCGTCGCTTTTGGAGTTGCTGCAGCAGGTTTCGCCGTTCTTTTGTCTTTCGAGGCAGCCGAAGAAGTCGATTTCGTCGCTTTGGCGACAACCGTGGATTAGGTCGGAGGAGGAGGTTGCGGTGATGCAGGCCTTTCGACAGCTGCTGCTTTGTGGGATGGGGCAGCAAAAACGGCCGGACCAGGATTCGCCCCGCGACATGTCTGGAAGAATAATTAAGTATGAAAGGTTTATCTATCTTTCATGATAAGAGATTTTCTTCGTGTGTATGTAGTCATGAAAATCAAAACTTACTGAGGAGTAATTGATTGGCTTAATAAGTTCTTCAATAAATGTACATGTAGTTAGTTAGCGAGAAAGATAACTAATAAATACGTCTATAAACAACTAGAAAGGCGCTTGTGTGGAATTTATTGCCATTAACAAGCTCATTACAACATGTATTAATTAATTACAGTTTGAGGCGGTCAGAATTATGTTATCAAGCATGAACATTAAATATTTTATTTCATGTTAAGAACCCATGATGCCAAATTAAGGAGAATTAATTATGTGCTTCAAAAGATTCTTCAATTTTCCGCACGCATTGTGCTATAAAAAGTACTTTCCTTTAACAGCGATATCCAAGTGGTTTTTTATACTTTTGCGGTTTTTTACGATCTGGAACACTTTAATTTACTAGTATGTTGAATTTTGCGAAGAGGTTAAAATAATGACCTCGATCAATTTGACAGAAGTAAGATTTTATTTAGTTGTACTATTGTCATTTAATATAATATAATCAAAAATTAAAATATTACTGTTAAAATTGTTGCAATTACGACATCCTGTTTCATTGTCAAAACCATTGTCATTTATCAAGACATCGACAGTGTGATAAGACGTTTTCAATACTAAATTGCCTTCACATGTTGCCCAATTGTAAACAGACTTATAATGTGGGCAACGTAACCCTAATTAACATAATATTAATATTAAATTCTGCACCTGTTGCTAGTAAATCAATATTGACAATGCAGATTTATAAACTAGTAGCATTTCCAGAAAATTTGCAATACTTTGTTATCAATCCATCTTGAGTGATAAATTGCGCGCCAACAAAAAACTGTTTATAACTGGAAGGTTATTTTTGTATCCAGTAAAACTAATAAAAATTTACTATCAATATTATTATTTATTATCATTATCGTCATTATTATCGCTGTATCTTCACGATCGATATTATCTCCAATATCTCCATTGTCGTTATTATCACTGTTATCGCCGTTATCATCATCATTATTATTATTATGTCATCAGATAAACAATTAGAACGATAAAATATTAAAGATTACCCCATTTTTGAAAAGAGATCGAACAAAAAAAAGTTTTCCATTTCGCTGAAGAGGACAGTAGCCGCTTTCTACCGGAGTTTTAAAATAAGTATTAAAGATTTAAAATTTTATAATTTGGAGAAAACACAGCCATAAGAAATATCGAGTGCTTATTTTAATGTTTGTAATTTTTTTTGTCAGAATTGCCAATATAACAATGTTTTTGAATCATTAATAATCCTCCGGTATTATATATGTACTCGTTTGGTTTAAGTTTATAAATGGATACGCATGATTTTCTGGAGGCTCTTGTAGAGGTTTTTCCGGTATAAAAAAGAAGATATTCAAGGTATTTCGGCGAATGTTTAAGGTTGTCGATATCGCGTGGGGGTGGCGTACCTCAGTGCCAAGCCCTGGACTGACTAGTGCCGCTGAAAACAAACTTAAGCTATGAGTTCACCTTTACGCCACCAGGGTGTATTGGCAGGATCTCTATAAGTGGGTCTATTATAATAACTGATTGATTATTCGAGAGGAAATATCTACAGCAGTAAAAGTTGAAATAAAAAAAGAATTAAAAAATGTAAAGCTAGTTTATGAGGTAATTTAAATTTGTTTTAATTATTAGGAGTATAATAATAATAATGTTTATAGCACAGCTTAAGTTATTTTCCAATTATTTATTTGTTGTCAATTTTGTTGTGGAATAGTTACTGAATTTAATTATTTGTATTTAAAAATTTGTGTATTTAACTTGGTTGCATTCAATATAAAAAAGTGTCGTGGGCTTCACATTGATCGTTTGTCTTGAAATTCAGCCCAGCTTCATAAGACGAAGGCAAATTTTTAAAATCGGGGGAAAGTCTGAAAAATGTTACTTTTTAAATATACCTTTAAAACAGGGTAAAAAAAAATTGTGTTCTGAACGGACCGCACTGGTTGTTTCGTATTTAAGATAAATCGAGTTACTTTTAGTCAAATTTTGAAAATAATCCAATTACAATGTGTCATTTTGGGGATTCTGGGTAAATAGTAGAAATTCTCGAAGAAATGAAGGCGAAAATCAAAGGAACTCTTTAATTAATTTTTGAAAGTGCTCGAGAAATTGTCGAAAAGTTTTTGAAAAATTGAGCTTTCGCGAAGTTACCTAAAAATCCACAAAAATTCAAATTCGAATTTTTCAAATATCCCAAAAATTGCCGTTTTTCATTTTGGCGATTTTAAAATAATGGTAGGAATTTTCAAAGAAATGAAGCCGAAAAACACTTCAAAATATCGATATCTTTAAACAATTTTCGAAAGTGTTCAGAAAAATATCAATTTTTTTTATAAATTTCATATACTTATGTATTAAAAATTGAGCTTTTGGAGTTAGTTGAAATTCATAGAAAATTCTGAGATACAGACAAGTCGACCCGAAAAACAACCTGTTAATGATATCGGACCAAGATTTTTTCGAAATATTAAGTTTCTGTCAAATTTTAGACCCAGACTTTTGAAGATAAAATCAAAATTGTGTAACAACAGTTGGCAATTTTACTTTGAAACTACAAAATGGAATGATTTGAAATTTTGGAAACGGTTTAAGGCATTGTAAATCTTGAGTCGAAATTTATCCGAATAAACTTAAACTTACTTACAGTCTATATTTATCATTTTTTTAGAATTACGTACACAGGGTGACGCAAACATTTATTTTTAATTTGTTATCCACTTTCAACATATTCCCTGTATTGCAGAGGTCGTTGAGAGTAATTAATGTACATAGCTGCACTTAGAAAACAAAGCTCCATTTCATGTTTTTATTACACACATAATTTCCGAAACTACTGGACTGATTCTTGTGAAATTTTGTACGGATTTTAGGAATATCGTATCGATGGTAAAACGCTAACCAAAATTTGTCCGATTATCCCCACCAATGCTTTAATGCCGTCATCTCAAAATTTTGCATAGTAAATAGTTCTTGATTTTTGTTTTTCATTTTCCCGATTTTCTAATTTTCATTTTCTCGATTTTATATCACAATTTCTCGTTTTCACATTTCATTTATTTTCTCAATATTTCTTTCGATTTTATAATTTTAAAATTGAAAAATCAAAAAACTGAATAGTTCAAAATTGAAAACTCGTGAAGTTCTTTCTTTAGAGCCAATAAGAATGAATCATCAAAACGGATTAGACGTGGGTGGGAGTCATCACTTTTTACTTTGTTTTCAATCTTAGCTTCTACCGCTTGTCATAATTTTACATTTTACAGAAAATAAAATAAGTAAGCGAAATAGAGTTTAGGTTTTTTCTAAAGAGTCTTATAAGCAAGCAGTATCCCCGCCCAGCTACCCCTTCTTCATTCCAGTGACTACTCTTAATATTGTTTAGCTTTATGTTAGCAAGTACTAGCCCCGCCCACCCGCCCCCTCTTTTTTTAGACGATATGTCATTTGCCAAAATTAGTCTTATCTTAGCACATACTAGGCCCGCCCACCCGCCCTTTATTTTCTTAGAGGGTGTCATTTGTTAAAATCACTCTTATCTTAGCAAGTAGTAACAAAAAAATATTACAAATTGAAAAATTGAAGACGTCGAAGATTGAACAATCGAAAAATTTAATAAATAAATAAATACTGAAACCTCGTGAAATTATTTCTTTAGAGCCAATAAGAATGAATGATACAAACGGAATACGACTGAAGATAAAACTGGTTTTGACAAATGAAATACCCTCTAACAATATAAGGGGCGGATGGGCGGGGCTAGTACTTGCTAAGATAAAACGGATTTTCGTTAGTGACATACCAGGAAAATAAAGGGTGGGTGGGCGGGGCTAATACCTGCTTCAGTTTTTCGAATTTTTAAATTTTAGCCTTTCGATTTTTCGATTTCTCAATTTCTCGATCTTTCCATTTGTCAATATCTCGATTTTTCAGTTTTTGGATTTCCCGATTTATCAAGATTTCGATGTTTCAATTTTTTTATTGATCATTTTGTCCCCATTTAAATTTTTTTTCGATTTATGAATTTTTCAATTTTTAATTTTTCGTAACATACTCGTATTCCTGTACCCATACATGAAATTCCCTTGATTTTTAGAATCAACGATTTTTGAAAAAAAGAAAAATCAAAATTGTATCATACCATTTCATGATCTATCGTATTACATAGTTTTGGAAATTTCTTTCTACCCTATTAATTTTTACTAACAATAACGAGACGGACAATAGTACAATGGTAAAAAATATTTATGGGCCACAGCAGTTCACGCGAATTTGTCGGAGAACATTTAGCAGGTACTTGTATTCATAAAATAAGAATGCTCACTTTCATTCGTTAGTAACGATTGTCACTGTCCGGACCTGGATTATTCTCCTTTCTAACATCTGGGGAAAATCGCCACGCGACAACTTTAGATTGTAAATATCTCTTGCTATTGTACTACTGTCCGTCTCGTTATTGCCAATAAAATTTTATAGGGTAGAATAAAATTTCTAAAACTATACATTTCACTGTAAATTTTCAATCTACATTTTATTAGGAGTTTCGTGAATTTTTTTGATTTTGTATATTCTGCTACTTAAAAAATGACATCGTCCATCTTATCGGTCTCTTAGACCCCAGCAGCTAACTTATTCCAACCAGAAAATTGTTTTTGTGACTAAAAAACTTCAAGTAATCGAATGATGTATTCCGGAAGTTCGTATCTTGAACCGTTTCGAAATTGTAAGGCTATAAAATGGAAAAGTAATTCTACTTTGTATTCTAGCAACTCATTTTTAGATTTTTGTTTAACTTCACACTACCTCTACATCATGTATGTTTTATTATACAGGTTGTTCCAATGCTAATACCAAACACTACACACTATCGTGTTAAAATTTCATGTCTAGCAAAAAT